TCAGACCAAGGCCTGGAAGTCTGTTTGCCCAGGAGCCATGCTGGTTGACTTTCTCTGCTCACACATGCCAGTTGTGAGCTGCCTAAGTAGCATAATTACCACCCGGCCAGGAGCTGTCATGCCAATGAACCTGGCGAGGTGGCTGGCTGGGCTGGTTTCCAAGTAAGCCAGCGATCCTAGAACAAGTGAGGGGTTTGCAAACCGCTGCAGCCCCCTACCCCGCTGGGCTGGGTGTCACAGCAGTCCACACCCCGTGAGGGTGACTATGTTAATTAGGCAGCTCCGCTGGGCCCTGGCACGTGCAGCAGGGAAGCCCCCGTGCCTCGCTTTTCCTCCACAATGGTGTGATTGCACCTCCTGAGCTGCTGAGGGTGCCTGGCGGGGTGGCTCGGCAGTGCAGTGGCTCCTCAGTGTGGGCTGCAGAGCTACCTAGCAAGAGCAGGGAAAAGCCTGTCCATTTCTCAAAACCTCACTGACGCTGCTTCCAGCCTCCCTCCCGCTTCCTCTGTGATGTCCATCCACCCCTCCAATGACACAGAAATGACACTTCGGAATGACCTGAATGTCTTCATCACTGTCTAAAAATCCATTTTGATGCCTTGGAAGTTTGCCAATGTGTCCGTAATTTAGATTGCTCTTCTTCTGGTCCTTTACAAGTACTCCGATTTGCCTGCCTGTCTTGTACAGCCTGCACTAATACATTCACCTTGTCAAGTTCCTGTCAATTACTGACTCCACTTTACTGCTTCCCTTGACAGCTTTTGGAGTGTGCTGTCAAGTGTGCACTTTCACACAATGGAAAATAACATTTTAAAAATCCCATTCTTGCAGTAAGCAGATACACCCAGAGTCCCACAGCAAGTACAGCTAATAGTTCCAGTCCATTCGGCCACCGGTTTGGAGTTCAGGATACAGGATGCGCTGAACTGGGATGGGCAGGCTGGCAAGTGTCAGCTCAAGCTGTAATACACTGAGAAGATGAAACTGAGAAGTCAGGTTTCAAGCAGGTGCAGAACTGATCTCAATCTCTGGAAGTGAAGAAAGTAAATAGCAGACAGGCAAATCTGCACAATTACACACCTGAGAACAGCAAACACCTGTTTGCAAACTTCCAAAGCACCAGAAATAATACATTAAGATATTGCAAACAGGATGGGCTCAGAGTGGATCTGAGTGGGGGAAAGTTGGAAAAGTGTCCCTCTGTAAGAATGGGGATTCAAGAGGGATCGTACCACAAATGGCACTGGGATATGGGCAGATGGCAGACTGGAGGACTAAGGGGAAACAAGTCATGGTAAGCCGCAGGATGCCCCATTGTCTGTGTGGGATAATGTGGGTTAGCAACTGATCCATCATGACTTGCTTTCACAAATTAAAAAGCACCAGTCACAATACAAATACTTGGGGGAGCCTGAACTTTCTGTGCCTTCACTACAAGTAGAAGAGTTTTCTTTACAGGAGACATTTTCCTGAGGTTGCAGCTTCAATTTTCTAAGCAGGAGTAAAAGTGCAGCCACTACACATGTCTTCTTTCTGGGATATTTTTACTCGACTATCCTATAGATTCTATTACTGATCCACAAGGTGATGCTGCAGTATAACGCAATTACAGTTTGTATTTGCCTTCTTTGGCCAGAAAACTACAAAATAGCTCTTGGTCCTCATTCTGAAACACAAATCTGCATTTGCAAAAATGGCTGCAAAACATTAGAGAGCCCTGGAGGATGATGCTGTGTAAGGGCCCCACAAACTGCCACGAGGGAAAAAAAATCACAAGCACACAATAAATGTCTCATGTAGAGAGGTTCTTAGTCTTTGCTTCCTTTCTTTAGCACACTATCCTATGCAGCTGCTGCCAACTGCATGGCTCATAAAAGCCTTAATACAAGCAAGCAAGCAGAAAAAATCTGTCTTACTGCCAGGTTTTGGAGCAAGGTGGGGTACAAACCAAATCAATCAATCAATCAATACAACTCCAACATTCTGACTAGGGAAAGCTGGGAATGGCAAGACTTTCATTTTTCTTTTTGGTCACAAGATGCATAGTGCACTTGATCCATGAAAAGACCTGTCCAGGAGATTTTGATGTCTTTGTTAAAAGCTTTTAAAAAGTCAAAGTATGGAACATTTACAGAATCACCCTCCTCCTGAAACACCTGCTTGTTGGCACTCTCAAAGGAGTCAGACTTTATGGTGTGGTATGTGCTACTTAAGTCCTAACAGTGTATCAGAAAAAAAAATGGACAGTTCTAAAAAAAGGTTCAGTTTGAATTTTCTTGGTTTGATTGATGCAAAGACTTAACCACAGCTCAAATATTACTGCCAGTTTGAGTTCATTTCTACACCAGCCAATAGCCAAAGCTCTCTAGGAGGTTCAGAAGAATTACAAGCCATAAATAAAAGATAATGAAATGTGCTGGAACCCAGTAATACAACTGACAGAAATGCACCATCATATGCCTGTACAGGACTATCTTATGCTGCCCACAGTGTCTCATTGCATTTCTTATGCACTTGGTTTTTACCATGTGTTCCTATTTTGCTGAATCCGTTGTACCCATGGCTACTAGCTGTTAAGGACCAGCATTGTGGCTTTTAAAATAACAACAAAAAAACCTTCAGCTGCCTCATACTCTCCTGCACTTTCTCAGAAGCACTCACACTGGTTTTGCCTATGTGTAACAGAAGAAATACAAACATTTGTATCTGTGACAGGGATGAAAACAGATAACTAATCATGCCTTGAAAGTATTCCATGTAGTAGCTATACTGGGAGTTGGTTGCAGGCATGGAGAAATCACCACCATTGCAAAACCAATTTGCAAAATGCCCACTCCTTGGAACATGTTGATGATGTTTCTCTACTTAAGTAGAAGCCACAGCTCAGTAACGAAAAACCTGAAGCCTTCCAGCTGTTTGGGACTGACATGTCCATCATTTTCGTTCATTGGCCATGCTGGCTAAGACTGGTGGAATTTGTACTGAAACTATACAGAGGGGACTACATTCCCCTCCCTTCTGGGAGACAGGAAGTGTGGAGGACTCTGGTACCCAGAGAGACCAGGGAGGGATTCCGTATCTCATTGAAGGGTCCTGTCCTCAAGAAACTTTCCACTAATGTCTCCTACTTCTGAACAGAAAAAATATGGGAAAGAGGAACTTCTGTGAGCTGAGTAAGTCTCTTGATCAGCCAACCTGGTGCCTTCTTGAGAGGTTGGAGTACACCCCCTGGCATCTCCAGCCACCATGGCTGGGGGTTAATCACACACACACAAGGAAAGGTTCAAATCAGTGTGGTGTAGTGAAACTCAGGGAATCCAGATTTTAGCCCTCACTTGGTCATGAAGCTCATGGGGTGGCTTTGGACCAACTTAACCTACCTCACAGGGTTGTTGTGAGGATAAAATGGAGAGGAGGAGAACCATGTAAGCCACCTTGGGGAAGGTGGGGTACAAATGAACAAATGTGATCCTACTACTAATAATGCAATACTACTAATAGTAGTAGTAGTAGTAGTAGTAATAGCTGCTGGCCAGCTTTCAATTTCTGTCTGCCCAGCACTTTCACCTGTAGGCGCAGTCGTGTCTGGAGGCGGGGTAAGCAGTGCAGCTACAGTTTGCCTATTCAGGTATCCTTTCAAGCTAAGCAAATCTTCTTACAGAGCTTCGGATTTGTGTAGCTTCTTCCTTTGAGTCTTCGCATGTTTATGCAAAAATTTATGCATGCAATCCATGTGGCTATCTGGCTCTTTTCAAAGATCTGTCAGTTTTTCCACATTGGTATTTACAAGCCAAGTTCCCCTCCCATTAAAGAAAGTAGCACATTTTCCTCTGGCTTCAATATAGATAGGATTGGGATCCCTTCTTGTCTCTGAAAACCATCCAGATTCTTTCTAATTATTTTTATGAGTTTCTGTTTCTCTGTCTGGGTGCTTGGCTTAATATTTGGTTCCCCTCCTGCTGTCTTTGTGGCCTCTTTACTGTTTTTTTCCTGCTCAAATGCAGAAGCATCTTTGAGGAGGTTAGAATGATATGGAAGGTTTTCTGTTTTCTTTTCAATTCTCTTGTTTCCATAAGGTTTGGCTTCTCTTGTAAATGCTTTTGTGGCTGGAAGGGGCCACCAAAGATTATTTACTTTTAATCACTGACTACTAGAGTTTTTCATCCCATATATCTTCTGCATCACAAGCCAATTTGTCTTCTTTAACATTATGACATACAGTTTAAAAAATGCACCCAAGTCCAAAGCATATTGGGATTTAAGACCTTTTGCTGAACAGTCAACTTTTTCCAAAGAGCATAATAGCATGTGCACGTACATACAGTCCTGGAGCCTTCATGACCCAGTCGCCAAATATACAGGCCTCCACATCAAAGGCTGAATTAAGCTCTTCAGGCAAACTGCCCTTTATTTTCAAGCATTGTTTATATATTTCTTTAATTAAGAGTGCAATCTTGCACATACCCACTCTGAAGTAAGCACCATTGAATTCAACAGAACTTACTCTCTAGTGAATGTGTAGAATTGCTGTCTAAATGTGAATTCATCCCCGCCCTTTATTGTAAAAATAAAAATGTAGAATTGTGTGCTTAAATATTGAAATGCTACTTTGAAAAGAAAAGTGAATGTGACCTAGTGACCTCACCATTTTCTAGCCAATCACACCTGTGCTTGAAGCAACTCTCATTAAGAAAATGTGCTACTAGCAGACCAGAGGAATAGCATTTTCAAAGTTTCTGGAATTGGTTTTTCATGTCTCTGAAACATGCAGAACTAGACTAACAGGGCATTTGGAAAGGCTAGCTTTATTAATTTTTCAGAACTGAATATAGGATACAAAATCTTTTTAATAAAATGATTTTCCTTCTTGCTTTCTCTTGTTTTTCTAGTGTTTAATTGTGCTGAATTATAACATTCATATTCAAATTAACAAAGGTTAATTTCTGGGAGGAGAGAGATGATGTACAGGTGTATGTCAACCAGATTCAGCACTTACTTACCTCCAAGATAGTTGCTGCTAATTGTAGGTTGCTGACGGTCAATTCAATTTCCCCTCATACATGGTTCACAGCATCCTAAAGGAAATGAAATTTAAATTTAAATTAGGTTTATTATTGGATGTGTTGCACATCTCCCGTGCCATCTGTGCAATTTCAAGTTTGAGAATGAAGCTGTAAAGCTCAAATCATTTAGAAGGGCATGCCACATGAGTTAATGGCATTATATTCGACGCAACTAAACCAACACATGTATGTTATTTAGTCTACAACTCCCAATACATTTACTTGGGAAATAAATAAATTTCATTGAATTCAGTTCTGCCTAGGACTGTGCTGTTAGATTGCTTTCAAAGGGTAATCTTATTTTTCCGCTTGCCCCCTTCCACTATCATTCATTCTCTTTTCCCTCTTATTGCCTGATGATCTTATGGCTTGCTTTACCAGCAGTGCAGTGATCTGGGCAGGGCTGCACAACTTGTGCTATGAGTCTAATAAGCTGACGGCAGTACAGGAGCAGGCTCTGGTCCACGTTCACAAGCGCCACTCCACCCCTCTTTTGCCACTTGAGTAGAATTGCAAAAGATGGGGTGGATACTGAGCACTGGCAGGCCTGCTGGACTGCAACATATCCGGCCCCACATCACTGGTCACAAATTGGACAGATTCTGTCCTTGGGTATCCCCACAGCTATGCTATATACCAATGCATACCAGCTTTGCAGCAATGCTACCTTGGGTATCTGCAGTGCTTTGGATTAGATTGCCAAGCTGCAATGATACTTCTTGTTCTGTAGGATTTGTTATTTTGCCTTGATTTGCGCAGGTCAGGAAATTTACCACCATGTTCCCTACAATTAAGAGAAAGCAGCAGGATTAGGGCGTGAGTCTTGCTCTCTTAGAAATGTGTGGTGAAGGACTGGAGATGGGCATAGAAACGCAAACACAATCAGGCACCATTAGAGATACCCATGTTGGCAAAGAAGAATGTACCAACATGCCAGAGAGCTGATGAGTTTAAGTTATATTGCCACAGCAGTGGAATATTCGGTCAGATCTTTACTGCAATATTGAGCCCAATGTGGTGAACAGTCAATATATGAAAAGCAAATCAGTTTACTTAACCATGCTTTTTCATGTGGAACAGCCATGTTCTGTCTGCACTGAAAATGGTAATGTGGATGCAACAGTACCGTTGTGCCTATAATTATGACACTCATGCAAATAACCTTTTTCTTGTTTAACTAAACATGTGAAGAATGCACAGCAGGACCAAATCCGTCTTTGATGTCCTTGAAATAAATACACCTTGGTTTCTTTGCAAGGGCCATTGTATCCTTAAGTGTAATTAGCAACAATTATTTCTGAACATGTTTATTCACTGGAACATTTTAGCTTTTATTTCTTAGAAGGCAAAACATTCATATTACACTAAACTTGTATGCATTTGCCCTCTCTAACCTATCTTCTTTTCACAAGCTCAGTTGTGTGATGCCAAAATTATTTTAAAGACATTTTGAGTGCTTTCAGTGTATCTGGTTTCTATTCTGTTGTCTTCAGTGTTTGTACAAATTTCTTCCAAGGTTATTTTAATTGTTACCTTCACTGTGCATTCCTAGTGAGATAGAGTTTCTCAAGCTTTTACAGTTAAGATTTTCTTGGAACAAAAGTTGCTTTTGAGCGTGTGAACAGCTGAAGTGCCCTCTGAGTACAACTGCTTTAAGATTTGTTTTATAAAGCTAAAGTCCATACTATGCATGACTGCACACTGTCGCCCAAAATCTGTTTCTCATTATTGTGTGGTCTTTAGGGTGTTTACTCTATATATATATTAAGATATGTCTCTTGTATGCATTTTAAAGGATGTACATATTTAAATACTCTGAATCTGTAGGGATAATACAACTAAAGTGCATAAATATGCCTCATCAAGCATTGTTACAATTGGGCCCGACAGGAAACTGGGGATCCTAGTTCATGGTAGCACAAAATGGTCTGAATGGGTTTCAAGACATTTTGGCTTTTGGGAGCCAGTGTAATGTAGTGGTTAAGAGCACGATCTGGGACTCAGACAATCCTGCCTTAACACACACTTGGAAAGGCTTACCCAGTTGAGTGCTTGACTTAAGTGAGACTCTAATTAGCCTGTACTAAACAGTGAAGCAAAAAGTTAGTGTGCTTCAAAAGCCTAGGCTGACATTAGTCCCACAACTTGGATATGTCAGCTGCTGCCTGCCTGTCCTGCAAATATACTACAGTGGTGCCTCAGCTCATGAACGCCTTGGTTCACAACCAAATCGGGTCACAAACAAAAGTTTCATGAAAATTTTGACTTGCGTCACAAATTCCGCATTGGGTGGCAACCAAGATCGCGCCCATCTCCCCACCTCCCGAGTGGAGAGATGGCCACGATCGCTGTTGCGTTCATGCAGGGAAGGCGTGTGTGATCACGGGCACACTCCTGCAGGAAAGACGGGCACAATCTCGGCCATCTCACACCCAAGTGGGGAGATGGCCATGATCACAGTCGCGTTCGTGCAGGGAAGACATAGAGGAGCCGATGACAGAAGAACTTGCTGAACTCCAGAGTGAGCAGCAGAAGGCACTTGCTGAGGAAGATTCCACTGAGGAAGAGGAAGACAGGGAGGAGGTTAGCGGTGATGGAAGACAATCCATTATGAAAAAATGGAATGAGTGCCAGGGTTTCTTTGAGAAGCACCACCCCAACATAACTGTACAAACAGAGTGTTGAATCTGATGCACAATAATGTGGTCTCTCATTTCTGGAAGGTTATGCAGTGCAGAAAAAACAAGTGACTATAGACAGATTTTTCACCAAAACTGACCCTGCAGCTAAGAGACAAAGAAGAGAGGAAACCCCTGAAAGAGATCTCCCCAATGTCCTTATGAAGAGAGACTCTCCCTCAAAACAATAACCTCCCCCCACACACACCTAGGTTAGTGCTCTCCACTGTACTGTACAGTACTTGGTTACTTTGTTGTTCTTCGTCACTTTGTTTCAAATTTTTCTGATTAAAAAAATCGCTACAAAACTGATTAACCTTATTTACATTGAACCTTATGGGGAAATTTGACTTGGATCACAACCAATTTGGGTCACAACCAGAGTCGTGGAACAGATTAAGTTCGTGAGCCAATGTATCACTGTATAAAGTTTGCTTGGTTATATTTTTCATTAACTTCAGACATCTGTTTCTGAGACCCAGTTAGGCAGGGACTGGGGATCTAGGAGCTTGGGGTTTCTAGTCCCTGCTCAGCCTTGGAGAACACTGGGTCCCACTTGGAGCCAATCACTTGACTTCTAGTCTAACCTACCTCACAGGATTGTTGTTGTTAGGATAAACTGGAGAGAAGACCTCTGTAAGATGCCTGAGGTTCCCTTCTAGAGGAAAAATGTTGGGGTATAAATGTAATTCAATCATCATCTTAATTATGAGAAATATGTTGGCTGGAGTTGAGGGAGACCATTGCTTTGGTGCTAGGGACAGCAGTCAAGCATCAAGGCAGGACAAAAGCCAAGCCTGCTCAGGTGCCTTTCCACATGAGTCAACTTACGTGCTCCTGATTCCTCATTCAGGGTAGCTTGTGGGTGCTTTACATGAAGTCAACATCTTTCAGGACCTCTTCCATTCTTTGCAAGCATGATAGTGTTTGGTTTTTAAAACTACTTTTCTAATGAGGAAAGTCTGGTGTTTACTTGAATGGCAGCGTGGTACCCATGGATACCTTCACAATCCTGCTATAATATGGAACCATCTAGCGGTTACGTAACAGAACATACAGTAAGGCAGAGAAAGAAAAACGTTGAAGAAAAAACACATGTAAGCAAGGCATTCTGAGAGGTTTTCTATAGGATGTCTTTAATGCACCACTATACTATATTATTATATATATTATTTATTATATATATTATTTATTGTATAATTTTAGTATTTATGTGTTGTGAGCCGCCCCGAGGCTTTGTTGCGATGGGGCGGCATAGAAATGTTTCAAATAAATAAATAAATAAATATACTGAGGATTTTGTCTGTGGAAACTGTTCAGGGTTAAGGTCAGTGCCTTCAAACATAACTTTTTCCACGTGCAGAGTGGGGGGTGGGAAGTCCCTTTTTCGCTGCATGACTACACCAGAGTTTCATGGCACTATTCACAGATATACAAGCCTTTCCTTCCTAGGGAAAGAAATAAGGCCAGAATGGTTGCAAACCAATGGAGAGGCCTTGGAGCGTGACAGTGTCATGTAAACCACCCACAAACTATTTGGAGTTAGGAATCTTCAATACACAATAAATGTCCTGTGTAAAAATAACGTCATTTCCACAGGACTGCAGAAGCAAAAGTCTTGGTAAACTAGCAGATCAAAAGCCTCATGTAGAAAAGCCCTCTCTCTTCTTTTGTTATCAATTGTTATTACTTTCTGGCATGGAAAGCGAGTCCTAATGCTTAAGCTTCTTATCAAATTATGCCCTAAGTGACAATCCTAAACACACTTACTAGAAAGTAACACCCACCAGATACAGTGGGACTCCTGAGTAAACATAGGATTGCAGTGTAATAAGCAGGTTTGCATTTACCCCGTTTTCTGGCAGTTCAGATTGTTTTAAATTTGCATACAGAAACTGAATGCTGCATTTTATTATTTTGTATCTGGGGACTGCCATTTTGTGAATTATTGGGAGCCACCCACAGAGCTTCAGCTATCTGGTGGAAGAAAAAGTAAATGAATAATACAGTCAGTGTAGTATAATGCAGTGCAGGGCAGTGAAGAGCCCAGTATGGGATTCAGTGACCTGGTCCTAGTTCCTGCTCAGCCATGGAGCCAACGGGCTGACTTTGGGCCAGTGAGAGAGTCCCAGCCCAACCTACCTCACAGGGGTTGTTGTTCTGGGGGTAAGACTGAGAGCAGGAGGAGGAGAATGATGTAAGCCCCCTTGAGCTAGTAAGAAAAAAGCGGGATCTAATAAACAACCCGGGAGTAAATCCCTCTATAGTTAATGGCTGCACAGGCGTGGGCTTCATACGGTCCTCCCTGCTCGCTTGCCTAAGAGTAAGTCCGACGGAAAGCAATGATCACTTGAAATGAGAGTGGGGCACGATCCTACGCATGGTGTCCCACAACTCCCAGCATTCCCCGGCATGGGAATGCTGCCTACGGAACGCTAGGAGTTGCAGGACTTCTCGTTTTGTTCTGTTTTATTCCTCTGTCCAAAGAGGATTACTAATTTCCTTGAACCATGTCTACGAGGATCGGGCCAGAAGTCTCAACAAACTGACCAGGACTGCAAACCCGGGCTTCATGGGGCAGAAGCACGAGAGAAAGACCGTCTCGCTCGCACCACTTGCTGCCGCCGCCGCCGCTTCCCTTGCTGCCGCCGCCGCCGCCGCCGCTTCTCGCCCAACAAAGCGAGCGCGCGCGCGCGCGCGGGGCGGGGGGGCGCGCCTCTTCCGCGCGGTTAGCTCGGCCCCGCCTGGACGCGCTGGGCGCCTGCGCAGAAAGCAGCCTGCGAGCCCCTCTTCCCTGCGTCCATGGAGCATCCCGGCGCTGAGAGTCCCGGCGGCGGGAGCACTTGCGGAGGCAGTAGTAGCAACAGCAGCAGCCAAGAAGGCGAGGAGCCCGAGTCCCCCGGAGGCCCCGTACCTGAGGAAGAGGACGAGGGAGAGGCGGCGGCGGCGAAGGGAGAGGACGCCGAGGAGCAGAGGGCGCGGGCTGGACTGGCAGCTTACGCGGTGAGGGAAGCTCCGCCACTCCCGGGGACCGGGAGAGCAGTTAGGCCGCGGCCCGGTGGTGGGCCCAGCTCGTCTTCCCACTCTGGCACAGCCACCGGGAAGCAGTGGAGCCGGGGGGGATGGAGAAAAGAGGCGGCGGCGATGGCAGTAGTGGGTGGAGAGACTGAGAGACGAGGAGGCTGTTTACGGAATTGGAGGCGGCTGGGCAGAGGGAGCGTGAGGCGAGAAGCGGGGAAGGAGCCAGGGTGTAAAGATAGGCTGGGCGTTCGTGAGAATGGGCAGCAGCTAAGGGGAACTAGGGGTCCATAACCTGGGCTGGTGGGGAAGGGGCTGCCAGCAAGCGTCTTGCATGTCTTACGAGTTGTACACACCTGGCCGTTTGGGCAGGTGCACCTGGGTGCGTAAGGGTGAGGAAAACCGCTGCTCTCTTTCTTGTCTTTACTCTTTCCCCCCGTTATAATTTGTGGTGGACCTCTCTTTTCTGCAAGGCCAGTAGAGCTGCAAGAGTGCTTCCCAGCTTTCCACATGGGATACCCCTTCTATGCAGTTTCGGGATAACAATGATGATGGCTGCATTAACTCTTAGCAATCGAGCATTTAGGGCACTGTTCATACCTTATCCAGTAAGGTAGGTCAGTATTATTGTCTCCCTAGCGCAGACACATGTCTGAGGAGACTGCTGGCTTGCTAAAGTGCTCCAGTGAGTTAATGGAAGAGGCCACATTTGAACTTGGTAGTTTGTACTATGCAGTGCAAGTCTACTTATAACTAAGTCCCACTGAGGTCAACAGAATTGCTCCCACATAAGTTTGTATAGGATTGTAGCCATAGCCTCTTAGGTAGCAATCCTATATATGTTAGACTTGGATAGATAGGATTTAGCTCTTTGCTACCAACAGCATCACACTGAGGTGGTACTGGAATAAAGGCTTGGCTACTGTTACAACTATGGAGATGGTGAGGCCTGTAGGCAGACAGAACAGGGAAAATGAGATGATAAAGTGCGGAAGAAAACCCTGCTTTTGGTGATAAAACCTTAGTGTAGCTTTTCATTTCATTCCTGAGGGTGTTGTTATAACTTCTTTCCCAGTGTCTGTTTCTTCCATCTGTAACTTCAGCTAGGGTACTGTGTAGCTTTTCCCCCTTCTTTAAATTTTGGTAATAAAGATGGAAGAAGCCGTGGGAAAAACACAAGGGAAAGCTACCTGTTGTTGAGAACATCATTTGTACTCCTTGTAAAATTCAGTGAATGAGGCAGGGTGATGGCATAATAAAAGCCTCATCTGGAAACACCCTGGGACCATAGAGTGAGAGTAGAGTCTGACCTATCCCTTTGTTTTTTCTCCAAGTGATTTCTGCAGAATCATTATCAGTGCTTCTCTTCAGGCCTAGGAAGCCAGATGGTCAATTTGTTGCCCCCATATCAGGTTGAAGATGTAACCTGTCATCACTAAGCAAACAGAGAAGTCTGCACTTGATACAACAGGTGTTAGTTCCAGCTCTTTGTCTTGATACACTTAAGCAGCTGGATGAGAAGCTTGGCCAGCTTCATGTACAGCTCATGTTACATACTTCTATGTATTTTGCCAGGAGTGCTCATCTTGATTCTTGGAGCAATTGAGTCTTCCTCAGCTGAGCAGGAGAGTGCTAGGTTGCCAGTCTCCTCTAGAGAGTAACAATATAGGCAGTCTCTGGATTATGAATGAGTTCAGTTCCTGAGAAAAGGGAAGTTCTTCTTTAACTTGTATTTGTATGTAAGTTGGTCATGTATAGTTGGCCCTCCACTTTTGCAGGGGTTAGGGGCACAGAACCCCCACGAAAGCAGAAAAACAGGGTGTACCTCTAACCTCACCCCTGCCCAAACTCACCAGTGCCTCCTTTTTACAGCAATGCTAGAGAGATTTCCCTCTGTGAATGGGTGGGGCAAGAAGGCATGCTTTGCAGGCCTCCCTTTGCTTTCTCTCTCTATGGTGTTTCTTTGGAGGCCTTCCCTCTCTCCTCTCTATGGTGATGACAGTTTTCTGCAGTAATTTTTAAAAAAATTAATAGGCATTAGGGCAGTTTGTAAGTACAGGTTGTTTGTAACTTGTATATGGAACAGCCATGCTGAATCAGACTAAAGAGCTAGCTAATGCAATATTCTGTTCTCTCAGTGGCCATCCAGAAGAGTATAATAGAACCCTCCCACTTATGTTCCTCAGCAGCTGGTATTGAGAAGCCTGCTGCCTCTAATTCTAGAGGTAATATACTGCCATCAAGATGAATAGCTATTGATAGCTCTCCCCTCCCCCTTGATTTTGTCTAAGCCCTTTTTTAAGCTGTCACTGCATCTTTTAGGAGTGAATTCCATAGTTTAACTCTTTACTGTTCAAAGAAATACTGCCCTTCCCTCTGTCCTGAATTGGTGCTCTCAACAAACATAGCCACCTTACTGCTTACATCTATCTGAAGATAAGATATAAACAAGTTGAAAAGCACCAGTCCCAATGCAAAGCCTAAGGAGTAGTGAGAAATGTCTTGCTGTTTAATAGCTGAATTCAATTTCAGACAAGCTCTTGGGAGCCTTCATTTATTGGTGGGTGGGGCCAAAGGTAAGGAGGCAGTGCCAAAAATACACCTCTCCCAGCATATTTTAGCTTAGCACTCCTACTACCAGAAAGTAACGTTTAGGAGAGGCATTCCAGCATTTTAGAATGGAGAAACATGACATAAATGTTAGGAAACCAGCCAATGATCAGTGGTTGAGGGAAATGAGATAGGGTCAAGGGAAGGGAAGGTGGCCACCTGAGGAAATCTAGAGGATCAGATTTAGCCCACAGATCTGAGATTTCCAATGCTTGCCCTGGAGGACTCTGCTCTTTGCAGACCACATTTGTGAGAACTGCCCATTTATTCCTTGTACTTCCCATTCTTTAACCAGTTACCAATTTAACTGATTTATAAGGGGACCTCTTCTCTTAGCCCAAGTTTGCTGAAGAGCCATTGGTGTGAGATTTTATCACAGGCTCATTCTGTTCGTTTTGTATGTTTGCTTTTTGCTAGACACAGGATCAATCCTTTTTTATTTGATTAACTGGGAATAACTAAAGAAAGGATGGAAAAATAAATCTGTTTCTTGTGAGCCACCTTGGCAATGAGTACCACATATTGGTTAATTATATAATTCATGGTCTTTTGGTTTATATATTTTTAAGTAACACCTAAAAATCACAGACTCTTACCCTACCTCACAGGGTTGTTGTTGTGGGGATAAGATGGAGGAGGAGAATGATGTAAGCTGCCTTGAGCCCTTTGTACAAAAAAGGCAGGATATAAATCGAAAAATTAATAAATAAAATAAAATAAATGTCATTCCATTTATTCTCAGAATTAATATACCATAAATATAAGGAAAGTAAGTCAAAAATTGAGGTGTAACTAAGGGAATAAAGAAAATGAATAATATAGAATAGGGCTGTCATCTATGCCAGATACATTTAGTATCTTTGATTTAATCTGCTTCTCAAAAAAGTATTTGTAGAAAAAGCAGGAATAGCAAAAGCATTGAGTAAAAGACCTTTCACTCCACAAAGGGGTGAGGGGGCACTTCCCTCTTGTTACTTGTTTTGGGAACCTAAATATCTAGAGGAGGATGCTGTGAATTGATTTCTTGGTGAGGCCTGGATAAATAAATAGGTGAGGACTGAAGACAGTCTAGGTTAGTGAGTTCTACAAAAGTCCCTTAATGCTTTTGTGAGGTGCTTCAGTGAAGTGGTAGATTAAGGCTATGCAGTGGCTGACTGCCTCCTCTTATGGTAATCTTGCTGCTGTAATGCATGATCATTATTGCTGCATTATATGATATGTCTTTGTGGCTGTACAACAAATGACTGTAAGAAGAGCACCTTGTCAGCGTTACAGGTAGTGGAAGGTGAATAGGACAGGCAAGAGGAGGCATGATCAAGCATTTAACAGATGCCCCCTACTTCAAGTATGTCCCAGTTTTCCTATTTGATGCTAAATACCAAGCCAGGGAATGGAAAGCAGCTGGCATCCTGGCCTGTACAACTGAGGCTTGGATGGATAGGGCAAGTAGTGTTAACCAAGACAAAAAATGTCTTATAGTTCCGATTTCAGTACAAATACGGACTTTGCGGGAGGGGGCAGGGTCTAAGTGATCCACTGAAGTTCTGCTTACATCCAGATTTCCCATTTGGCAAAGACCTAATATTGAATGCATCATCTGGTGCTGGGGACAGATATTGACTGGAGTCTTCATTAAAATGATGCCTGCCCTGCTGCTTAATGTATTGCCAGTGTTCAGCTAGGAGAGATGGTCTCATACCTGAAGTTAAGGAAGGACTCTAGTACTTCAACATCTATGCTAGATTTCTCTTGTCAAAAACACCTCAACACTTCATGTTTACCACAAGTACATGTTAAGTAAGATTCTAATATCTGAAGCAGCTGTAGACTGGCAATATCTGGTATAATGGTGAACTAGATATATGAAGGCCAAGTAAACAGAAAGAGAATGCTTGATACTTGCTTCCCATTTTCTTTAGTCTCTCCTTTGCTCCAAATAAGATGAGCACATGGTATAATGTAACTTAGTTGCTGTTGTGCCATAGATTTCAATGTAGAGTAAACGTCTTATTTGCTCTACTGTTGGAGATGTTGATAGACCAGCAGGGTAGCATGGCAGTTTTCTGTTATGCTTAAAGGAGATGAATAAGATTATACTGATTCTTTATCCCTGAGGTGAGGGAAGAAAAAACAAATACAACTGGGTAAAATACTACCAGTGGTGGCACTCTTTGCCCAGCTGCCATCAGAGGCAGGTTTCTAAGGAAACAGCCTGCCCTGTGGTGATGGGAGAAGAAACATATTTACCTTGCAGTAAGAAGAAGAAAAATTGCAAAGGCGAAGAAAGGCAGGATAGGCCAGCAAATAACAGAACAACTCTGAAGACAGATGCAGCTCAACCCTAGAATCATAGAGTTGAAAGGGGACAGAGGGCCATTGGTTTAAGCCCCTGCTCAGTGCAGGACCCCCTCTCAGATGCCTGTCCAGTTCTCTCTCCTCCAGTGTGGGAGAGCCTATGACCTGTCTAGATATAGTAGACTCTTAACCAGAACTCAAGCAACCAGCACTCTCAAACAACCAGTAAAAGACTCAAAGAAATAATACTTTAAATTAAAATTAAAATAATTTCTATTGGAAATGTACATTTAAACTTGATGCTGTAAGCCCATGCTTTTATGCACCAATCTATTGTTGTTCAAATTTTAAGTTCTCACCCAACACCAGGTATGCCAAAACAGGTCCCAAGTAAGCGTAAATGCCTAGTGCTTGCCCTCAAGTAGAAGATGGAAATATGCAAAAGGCTTGAGAAAGGTGAGAGTTGTGCAGTGCTCTTGGAGAAATTTAATGTTGGTTTGTTAATCTATGATATTAAGGCTCAGTCTTAATGGAAGTGTCTTTATTTGTCTTAATTTGCTTTTAATTTCTGTATTTCAATAGTAATACCAAGTCAGTGCAGAATTTGTAGTATGGTATAGTATGGGGTATATTATTAGTTAGGACTATTTTTAATAGTAACTCCCAAGCGACCAGAAACTACATTTATCCGGCATCTCCAATCCCCATGGGTGCTGGTTAACTGAGAGTCTACTGTAATTGGTTCCACTGTTGTACTGCTCTAATGGTCAGGAAATTCTTCCTGATGTTCATATGGAACCTGAGTATAATATGTCCCAGATCAGTTGTAGTCCCATCTATCCAGGCAACATTACAATCTTTTCCCCCTATTCCTCTCCCTTAGTCCTTTTCCTTGTGATTTGTATATATTTAGATTGTAAGCTAAGGGCATGGACTGACTGACTGACTGACTGATTGATTATTGATCAAGCCATTCTGGGAGCCTTTTGGCTGAAGAACAAGAAACAAATGCTTTAAATGGAATGAATGAATGAACGAACGAACACAGGCAATACATGCAATATCATAATGCATGTACTGTGAGTTGCACCTCCGTGCATCACTGGGGCGATTTGATAACATAAAATTAAACTTGGCTTTGCCTTATTAAGCACCAGGCTTTGCTACTTTACAGATGTAGTAGCTTCTTGGGCAGATAAACAAATATATCCCAATAACACTTCTCTCTTTTTGTAAAAAGATGATGGAAGATTGTTTATTGAAGAAAATAGAAATCAGTGTGGCAGAAGCAGAGAAGCGTACTGGACGGAATGCAATGAACATGCAGGAAACGTACACTGCTTACCTGGTGGAAACAAGGTAAAAAAAACTTGAACTAAGGTTAATGATCAAACTGTCTCTTCATCAGTAGGTGAATAGCCAAATTCCATGACCACATTAGGTTGACTGTATCTTAAGCTTGTTCAGCCAAGGTACGCACACCCCTTGAACTGGTACATGAGGCCCCTTTGTTTTTTCTTTTGCAGAGAGCTATGGTGAAGGTGAAAACCCAGGCTATAATTAAGCATAGTTTTCAGTTTCATCTAAGTCAGGGAACTCTGGTTATCAGTTTTAGAACAAGCCAGGATCTTACACCAAATTTTGAAGTTTAAGATCCTAAATTGTTCCAAAATTGGTAACCATATTTTCTAGTTTGTACGAAACAGAAAACTATGCTTAAAGTGTTTTTGATTTAATAATGTGAACCATATAGGGATTTTATTTTATTTAATCTTATACAAATATCACGAATAAATAGATTTGCTTCATTGCAAAAGAAAGAAGAAAGTGGCTTTATGCAGGGCAAAAAGCTTTGAACATATATTGGCTTAATAAATATATATATATATATATATATGTATGTATGTATGTATATATAGTCAGTATCTTTGCTACTATTCCTGAAATTATTCTTCTAAGTGTGTGTGTATAAATATATGTCTAAACGACAGGCCATATTACCGTATTTTTCGCTCTGTAAGACGCACCTAGTTTTTAGAGGAGGGATCCATGGAAAGCTTCCTGATAATCACAGGCACATTCCCCATCACTTCCCCATGGGCTTCATTAAAAGACGGGTTGCTATTTGAAAACACACACCGACCTGTGGTTAACAGCTCTCACCTGCACCGGAGGAGGGGGGCGGAGCAGGCGCACCAAGCGCGTGCTGGCCAGATGTGGTGCAGCCGGGCTGGCAGTGTACCGGCGGTGGTCTTCCGGGCAGCGCGGTGGTGGCAGGTTTTCCCGGATGGTGGGGGTGAGCAGTCCTTCTCTCCGTGCGGCCGGCGGGTTAAAGCCCGCGGCTCCTCCTCCTCCGCGGCAGGTCTTCCCAGGCGGTGGGGGTGAGCAGTCCGTCTCTCCATGTGGCCGGCGGATTAAAGCCCGTGGTTCCTCCTCCGCACCGCTCCCCCTGAGTGGCACAGCTCTCACCTGCACCGGGCGGGGGGGTGGAGCACTGTGCGCCAAGCGCGTGCCGTCCAGGTGGTGCCACATGGTGCAGGCAGGCCGGCAGCGTCCCGGGCGTCGGGCGCACACACATTCGCTCTATAAGACACACAGACATTTCCCCTAACTTTTGAGGGGGAAAAAAGTGCATCTTATAGAGCAAAAAATACGGTAGTTTACTTGTACATTGGTTGTGAATAGCAGCCATTCTCTGACTGTGTTTTGATATGGTTTCTATAAGTTTGACCTATGTTGTTTTTTCTTTTTTGTTTTGGTTATTCCATTGACTGGATTCAAAATGAAACTATCATTGGATACACTAGAAGTTTCATAGGCTGCAAATAGCCAACTGATGATCTTGTTCTGGCACTGCATACAGCCAAAACATTAGAATAAATACTGGTTAACTCTGGTTGTTCTTGGTACATGATTGCCTAAGAATTTGGGTTATTCCATAAATCAACCTGTAATGCAACATTAACATTTTACAAACAATACACTCAATGGAAAACTATGTAGGAGGGGGAATGGAATGGAATAGGGTAACTGGCAGAAAGGAGTAGGGAGGAAGAGAGACATAGATATTTAAAAAGTTTGATAGAACCATCACATTCTCTGGAGCATTCATTTCTTTATTCATGGTGAAAACTGTTTTTAAATGCACTGATGAATAGAAGTGAGAGCTGCTTGTAGAAATCAGTGGAAAAACTGAAACTTTAGCTAAGATTGGGTGTCATTACATCCACCAGCATCACCTCGGTACAAAAGGTAGTAGCAAAGGGAAGTGCTCCTGCTCTTTCTCATTTAGTTCTTATTTAGTATTAGACCTGCTGAGGAAAATTCCAAAGTAAAAGACATTGTTGGAAGGGGCTATAACTGGAAAAGAGGCTTCTGATATCCCTGATACATCACACTGAATAGTGTAGGTCAGTCTCAGTTACTTACAACAACTTTTCACAGTTACCCAGCAAAATGGGTATTGAATCTCATTTTAGGCTGCAAGGTTGGTCTGAAACTGAGAAATTGTAGCAACCCTGATCTGCCACCCATTGTTTTTATCCCTACATCCCTGGATTATACATAATAATCCTGCAGTATAGTCCATTGCTATACACCTATTGCAGGCTGAAGGACAATACTGAGAGAAGGTAGTGTATGGTAGCCTACAATGCAGTGCACAGCATTGTGGGTCAGAAGTAAGTTTGTGGCTACTTTAGATTCCCAGACCAAAATCTTTCATATTCTCAGGTTGCCCCAAAAGTCAGTCTACTTAAATTGTACCTCCAGAATTCCTCTCAGTACAAATCAAGCATCAAGCCTTTTGTCACATGCAAAGGCTCATGCTCAGTAGACTTGCATGCAGACTGGTTACAATTTTAAAGTTCAACACACACTTCCCTGCAAAAAATGAAATTGCAGACCAAATTAGATCAATGGTTCCTGTTTTTGATTCTTGGATTACATTGTCCACCCTTGTCCATTATAGTTTAAAACATCTGGATAGTACCATATTGCCTGTTCCTGCTCTTCACTCAGAGACAGAGACCCCAACCAGGCAAATGTGGACAGCATAGAATGCTTTTAATTCAGTGTAATCTAGTCCACTGAAACTCATGTAAGTGGCATAGTAAGGTTGTTAAGTCTTTAAGGAGCTGCAAGACTTGCTTTTTGCTGCAAAAACTGTATGGTTGTCTTTCTATCAATCAAAAGGCTTGCAAAATGTCAATCTAGTCCTATACGTAATACTTGGAGGTAACTTGTATTATGTTTAGTGGGGTTATTCCAAGTAAGCATGCACTGGATTGCAGCCTGCAAACAGAGTTTCTTTATTTCATTTTTTGCAGTCTCTGGTATTGTTTTTAGCCTAGTTGCTGTGAAAATGACTACATTAGTATTTATGGAGCAATAATTGTATGTTACTTTGCTGTTTTTGCAATAAAAGGAAACTCACTGAGTGTAAAAATCCTATGTTCTTTTTGGTGCTGCTGGGTTAAATTAACCCTTATTAAATCTTCTTTATATTGATCTGCAAAATGAGAAAGCAATGTTCTATCCATCCTAGGGGAAGAAGAGGTTTGAAGACTTGATAATAACCATTATTAAGAGACATGGTTGGCAGCAGAAAGGGAGCTTAGATCCATTGGTCCCCACAACGCTTCTAGTAGATATTCCTTATGCTAAAGGAAGCTAGGATAGTCTCTTGATGGTTGAATAGTAAGGAAATGAAAGGAGTTGCAACTATCATGTGCATCTTGTTTTCCAGTATAGCTGCAGTTTGCTCTTTACACATCAGGTTTGGTATAAATGCCATTGTATACAGCCAGAAGTGAGGCCTGAATAATGTGCTGCATTGGTTTATTTGTGTTAGTGATGGGGAGCATGAAAAGGGGACAAAGCTTACTGAAAGATTTTGCAAGAAGGGAGCCGCTTTTTCTCCACCCCATCTTAGCCTTTACCTATTAGTTAGTGTAAAAGTTTTTTTATTTTAAAGTAAAGACTTTTACCTATTGATCTGCTTTTCAAATATCTCAATAAGTTTAGTATCCAATGGTACTTCATCACTAGCACAAATGATGTCACGTGTCAATATGGATTAAAGGCTAAGCAAAATTGAGCTTGGCTCCTGCCCTAACTTTGAGTAAGATAATGACTAATGTGTGCAAAGTGATCTTGAGCATGTATTGCTGAACAATTCCTGGTAGTAGAGGAAGAAAAAATGATTGTTCCAAGTTTTCAAGAACTTAGTCTTGTGCGTGCTTAGAAGTAACTGTAAATAAATGGAACTTGCTTCCAAATAACAGTGGGTGCAATTGCAGCTGATTTTTTTTTTCTTTTTAGTGCAGCAAATACTGATAACGTTGCTGAAATGGAGTGAAAATGCCACTTTTCCATCATTTAGAATGCTAAACCACTTAACCACACAATTCATCCAAAGGGTTTTTAATTTTATTGGGAAATAAACCTTTACTTCCTTTTCTGATTTCAGGATTCTTGCAGTTTAATGGCTGATTTCAGATAATTACTTTAAAAAGCAATAAGAATTAGCAGATAATTTTATTCTCTTTCAGTTTGGCATTTCTCATTACAGGAAATAAATGTGGCTTTTAGAATAAGGTAGTATCTTAAACACCTATAAGAACTTGAGTTAAAAGTTAAAAGTGCTGTACTTTATCCTTTTCCTTAAACTATCTTCCTCCAAAAATTTGAGTCTATATTATTAATATTATTATTATAGCTATCTTAAGAATGGAGGCATGTGGTTTTCTTGTTGGAACACTTAAATATAAATGTGCTTCTAAAACCAGTAATAAAAGTTAGATCAAATGTCATCAACTGATTATCATCTTGATTGAGACAGGCTTCAGTGCTATATATTATGTGAGGTTATATAGTGAGGTTTATAATGTGGCTGCAGAAATGAAATGTGATGATGGAGGTTAGCAAAATGAGTATTTTTCCTGGGTTAAATGTCTTTTTTGGAGCAAAGTTTCTGGGTAGAGGCATTCTTCCATCAGTGATATTTTACAGCTGCAAAATGGAACAGAATACTTTGAAAGAATAATGTCTCCTATCACAATGAAGAATTCTAGAATTCTTTTAACATTAGATACTTTCAGAAAAATCAATGAATTTGACCATAGATCTAATTTGTCACTGTTTATTCAATGTATATATTGCAGTGACATTGCGCCAAGGCAAAAGACGCAAAAAGTAGATATTTCTGCACTTTGGAAAATGCTCTGTTGATGGTTTCTAACATGATACTTGAAAATGACATCTAAAATCAGAAACTGCAAGTAGGTGTGGGAATTCAATAAATTGAATCCCTCTAAGGGTGCAGCCCTATCAGTTTCACCCTTGATGCTCATAAGTCCTGAAACTTATGCATAGTGAGAGGAGTAGCAGCAATAAGCTTCTCCTACCTGTCTTTCCACCCTTTATTTTCACTAGATAGCCTTGTATGCCTGTCTGGTGAAAGCATTTCAGAGGAGGAAGAGGCCTCAGGATGGCTCATACCTGATTCATTGAAAGCCCCCTTTACCCCTCTTCAAGGTCACATTCCCAGTCTTGAAGTGACGACTGGCATGCATTTTTCCCCTGTTGACAGGGAGGGAAGTAGAGGACAGTGCTCTGATTCTCAGCCGCAAGGTCAGAGCAGGGAATCCAAAATATTATTGGCCACACAGACACTCCAGGGGCTGTTGGATTGCTCCCTGAGTTGGTAGACCTGAAATCTATTTGTCTTAATTATTTATGTTAATATTTATATTCCGCCCCATTTCCATAGGCTGCAAGTGTTTATTTGTTGAAAGGATTACTAGATTTCCCAGCCTAGTATTTTTAAGAGCAAAAAAAAGGTTCTTTAAAAGTTTTCTGTAACTGTGTTTTTAAATCAGTTTTTTTTCTATCTCTTGAATTGTGCATGCACCATTATTTCATCTCATAGTAATATTTTTGGTGGATAATTAACATAATAAGATTTTGTTTGCAGCTTATGATACTTCCTGCTTTACAGATATATAAAGGGACCTGGGAGTGGGTGGTGGTTGCCATTTAATCTAGCACAAATTGTTAGCCATATTAAATAAGACTAATGTGTTTGATATACTCGCATTAAAAAGACTGTCAAAAGCAATCAGTATTTTTAATTACATCTTTATGTGTTTTCTAAATTTCCATAAATAAAAGCGGAAGCATTACTTGTTTCCCCAGAATTTAAAGGCCAGCACAGGGGGAGGGTCATGACTTGATAACAGAGCAGATGCTTTGCCTGCAGAAGGTCCCAAGTAGAATCTCCAGGTGGGGCTGGCAAAATTCCTGCCTGAAACCCTGAAGATCCACCATCAGTGGACTAGATGGACCAATGATCTTACTCGGCACAAGGCATGTTCCTGTGTTCATGTTATGTCAGAAAAAAAATAAAAATTACACAAGACTTTTTAGATTGAAGTGAACTGGATGGTGTTATACTGCTCTTAACTGTATTTCTTCAAAATGGTATTTTTCAGGGCTGTGGAGTCTCAGGCTGAAGGGCAGTGTTCCCCCCCAGATTCTCTTTGGAGAAGATACAGTGAATTTGAGCTGTTGAGGAATTATTTGCTAGTTAACTATCCCCATATTATTGTACCACCTTTGCCAGAAAAAAGGGTAAGAATGTTTTGCATTTTGCAACTTGTCAACTTATTCTGTTTTTGGTAACCACTCCTGCATTTGTCCAAGGTTCTGCCACCAGCACAGCACATAAATACATAATTTGGATGTTGAGTAAAAAAAGGCTTTAGTTTTCTTTTAAACACTTATTCTCCAGCCCTTAAGACTGTGAACAGAGGCCTGCCCATGTGTTGGCAATACCTTGTGGTACCTAAAGTGTGGGAAATAAAAGTTGCAGATAAGCTCAGGCAGCATTTTCAGTGATTGAAACAGAAAAGTTCAGAATACATTACATAAAGCAAATACAGATACTAATATACTGCAGTTGCATAAGTGTTAGAGCTGGAAAATTTGAATTAACTCAGTGAAAATTTTATTCTATGTTTGCATGAAATATACAGAGGCCCTTATTAACATGCCCTTTTGTTCCATAGGCAGAGTTTGTTTGGCATAAATTATCAGCAGATAATATGGATCCAGATTTTGTAGAAAGACGGAGGATTGGCCTGGAGAATTTTCTTTTGCGAGTGGCTTCACATCCCATTCTCTGCCAGGAGAAGATTTTCAATGCATTTTTAACCCAGGTATCTTAATGCTGTCTGGATTCTAAAAAATAAACAAAATCTCTCTGTCTTAATCCTAATTTTACTGTAGACTTCTAAGTATGCAATGGTTGCTGGGTGTATCTCAGTGGAAAGCACATGCAAAACACCCCAGGTTCAGTCTCCAGCATCTCTAGGTTGGGAAGCCCTGGAGAGCTGTCACCATTTCAGTTTCAACATTAAAGAGCTAAATGGACCAAGGGTCTAATTTGGCATAAGACGGCTTTGTATGTTGTGTCTTGCTTTAATTTTAAGGCTCAGCAGCTCGGAATGCTGTTTCTGAAAGTCTCCTGAGCCTTATAAAAATAATACAATGGAAGCAAAGTCCTGACAGGATTATGTAGTAAAAACAGTCTGCTGTAGATTTTTGGAACTTGGGAGTAGGGTAGTGGAAGCCCCCTCCCATTTTCTATCTTGCTCTGTGTTGTATGTGAGAGCATTGCAAAAAGCAGATCAACTCTGCAAGTCGAGGGATTTGAAGGTTTCCTTTTCTCTTTAGTCAAAGAAAGGTGAAGGGGCATGGCATACTAGTTGGGGAAGCAGAATCCCTGGCAAGCTGTCATTAGTACCCAGTCTTTGCTAGCAGTTAGGGAAGGGGTGGAGCAAGGAGGATAGCTGCTGCAGAGGTAACTGGAAATAACAGGAGAGCTGGCCAGTGGTTTCTCTTTCCCCCTCTCAAATTTCAGGCCCACCAGCTGTCCTTGCCTGTAGGGAGAGAGCCATGAGGGAACCCTCAGCATTCTGAACAGGGCAAGATGGACTGTGCTTCATAGGAATAAAGAGACAAGTAATATATATCCTGACTTTTCTACTAGGCAGATAAGTAACTAGTTGCCTTTTCAAACCTGCAGTGAGTAGAAATTGGTTCCATCTGACCAGATTGGAAAATTTTTGTAAACTGTAGTTCAGTTGATTGCAGTGTCAGGATAGTTTTTTTTTTCATGTTGATGATGTAGCACAAATGACTTTACACTGGTATGTGTGAACACATTGGCTAATAAAACATTGTATTGGCCAATAACGTTAATGGATTTATTTGCAAGCCTGTTCACAGAAAAAATGTATTAGCCCAAAGCAATATACCTCTTGTCTAGCATGAATTGAGTGAATTTTGAACTAATACTGTTACAGAGATAGTGTTCATTTCCATAATATACTGAAAATAACTGTTGAAATAAATTTTCCATTTCTAGGAGGGTGGATGGAAGGAGATGGTGAATGAAACAGGGTTTCAGCTGAAGGTAATTACATGATTTTTAAATGTAATGCTTCGTGGACTAAGGATAAGCCAAATGTGGAGAGTTAGTCATAAGAGGGCACTTGCCAAAATTTCCTGTTTGTAAGTGAAAGTCTTGACTCTAGTCCACATCAGGACTAGTGTTGATTGATAAAAGGCAGGGATGTTCATGCTGTCAAAGAGAAGAGCCATAGAAAGGAATTTCATGATTCTACTCTTCATCTAGACTGATTTAACCATGTTGTTAAGTATCCTGAAAATATGTGGGTCTCATATCACTAGCGATAAAGGCTAGTGGAACAGCTTCATATTTGTCATTTTCATTAAAAACCTAGATAGTTCTATTCTTTTACATTCATCTGCTTGTCTTCATGTCTCCTTTACATTGTTTTCCTCTTTAAGAGACTAAAACCAGTGGCTTGAGTCTTTGATTCATGGTGGTATCAAGAATGAATCTTCCATTTTCTCACCATCTTCACCACCATCCCATTCATAATACAAGCAGCCCCTGGGTTACGAACAAGTTCTGTTCCTGAGAAAATGGAAATTTGTCTTTAAGTCAATTTGGATCATGTATAGTTCACCTTCCATATTCGCATGGGCTAGTGGTGCAGGGCCCCTATGAAAGTGTAAAAACTGTGAATATCTCAACCCCCCCCCCCCCACTCAGCAGTGCTGCCTCTTTGCAACAAGGAAATGCTTGAGAGATTTCCCTCTCTGGATGGAGTGGGCAGGAAGGCCTGCTTTGGAAGCCTCCCTCTTTCTCCTTTGGCTTCCTCTCTCTCTATGGTGATGACAATTTTCTGCAGTATATTTAAAAATAGACTGCATGGAAGTTTGTTCATAAGTCCAGGTTGTTTGTAATTCAGGGACTGCCTGCACTAGCATTTGGTGTTGTATGGCATTCCACTTCAGTATGCTGACATACTCATTGCTCTAACCATGTTGAGAAAGTCATGCCCTGAGTCTTGCAGTCCAGATCCTGCTTTTGCAGATGGTATGGACCAAGGGGTTGGGGTTCAATACCAAATAAAAGCTATAATTCCAACTTCAACTTCATTCTACTCCCTGAGAAAGAAATAAACTCATGACCTGCTCCTAGTTTCCTAGCATGTAGCAATTCTGAAATCTAGAGAGGTTCTTCCAAGAGAACCAATCTTACTACAATGAAATTGAAACAAATGCCTGTCCCAGTTTATCAGTGCTTCTACACATTGGGAAGTTTTTCAAACATACAAACAAAACCCTACTATGTTACAATGACTGAAGCGGTCATTATTTTTTAGAGATTCTTTGTATCTCTTGATTCATGAAGACCTTTGTTTGTTTGTTTGAGTTATATCCCAGATTTTTTCTTTAAGAACTCAAAGTGGCTATTTTTTGTCCTGGTTGTGCCTCTCCCAGCTTCAGAGCTAAGCACAGCAACTTTTTTTTAACCACAGGCTTTTATTACACTAAACTTTAGCAAGCAAAGCCAGCTGTAGCTTATAGAACAAGCATTTTACTGGAATCAATAATAAATACATCTCCAGCATGCTGTTTTAACTTTCTTCAGAACTAGTCCATTACCACAGTACAGCCCAGTGGATGGTTTACTGCACTTTCCTTCCAATAAGGGAGATCCCAAAGACCAACCCTCAAGGCCATTACTTATTTTGCTGATCCAAATGCTCCTGCTCTTTGGAAAGGCTCTGTTATCACCATTCCCTCTGTCTTTGGCACACATTTTCAGGTTCCTCATTTTCCTCTTTATCTGATCAAAATCTATTCTGATATCCTTTGGAGTAATCCGAATCATATATGGAGTATGAAGTTGTTAAATTTCACACAAAAGTATTTTTAAAATCTTTCAAGCGTTTGCCAGAGTACACAACAATTCCACAGACAGGAAGATTAAAAAGCCGCCCTTGTAATTGCTTCATATATCTTAAATTCCTAATTAATAAAATAGATTATATGTTACAGCACTATGTGTATAATAGTTTTGCTTGTGCATCATATTGATTAAATCATTATTATGACCTGCTTGCATGTAACAATTTTAATCCTTCATGAAGGTACCTTCAGTATAGGAATTTGTCCCATATGCCATGCCTCATAGAAAAGGATTGAGCCCTTGCTGAAATTTCAGAGACTGCATGTGATGTAGTGGGGGGTTTTTCCCTTCGATACAGGATTTACTGTGTAAAATGGGTGTAGATACTTTGACCTCTCTTATAAAGGTTGACTAAATAATTTTGTGCTTCTTGTGGTTTTAAATTAAGTGAATAAAAGTTGTGTACATATGTACTTTCTCTACTAGGCTGATTCTAGATTAAAAGCTCTTAATGCAACATTCCGAGTGAAAAATCCAGACAAGTAAGTATGGGAGATTTTTGTTTGCTTGTTTTTCTTAGCAATTTTGGTTTTAGTTGGTGTGAAAATATTTCTATATTACTCCTTGGCTGCTTTAGTAAGTTTGTTTTAATCCAAAGTAAAAAGTAAGCTTGAAAATGGAAATGAGAAACCCATTCTTTGAAGAAAATAGGCACTTGCTAAATGTTTTTCTTTTAAAAAAAGAAAGGGTTGTACCTAATGTTAGTCTGACTAATCCAGTCCTGTGAAGAAGGTCCAGATGGAAACTTAAGGGTAAGAAGAGATGGTCAGATTTTCAGATCCTTTGTCTCTTCTCACTTCATTGCTCCCTTGGTGGGGAGAGTTGGATGGTTAGGTAATTTAATCCTTGGGGCAAAGAAAGATAGTTCCCTCCCATTGAGATATAACCATAGCCATAGCTGTGGCTACCGGCCATCATCCTATTGCTCAGATTGGGGTTAAAGTAAGAGGGATGATGGGCTCTCCTCTCCCTCCAAATTGGGAACCCAACAGAGGTATTTCATTGACCAACTTCACTAGACTCTCCTTTTGGGAGACCCATCACCCTAGGTAATGTAGAGTAGGGTATTAGTTATTTTCTGCCAAGGTGATGTTCTGAAGAGTGTGTTTTCTTGGGAATTGGGGTTGTGTTCTGCTTTTGTATCTTCTGATTGTTTTGTTCCCTTCCTATTTTCTTGTTCTTCTCTTTCCTTTTTTAACCTTTAGACCTCTGTTCCTTTCCCTTTTAAATAAACTTCTTTCAACCTATTGATTCAACATGTTGTGGGGGAGGGGGAATCACTGCTAAGTCCAGTGCCCAGACCAAAGGACAACTTACTAGGAGGGGACAGAAAGTAGGGCCTGAACAGGGTGGCTGTGTGACACTGCTCAGCCATTCTTTGCAAGTCCCAGTGAAATGAACATTGGCTAACATTGGATTCTAATCAAAGTATGGCCCAGCAATGTGCTGGATCATGATTTTACTTCAGATGTGGACATACAAGTACTCAGCCTCTTGGACCTTTTTTGCTTCCTCCCCTCCCATCTTAATCCCCTCCCCCTGCACTGTTTAGGCCATTCCTCCCTCAGTTGGAGTTTTGTTTTTTTACATACTGAATATGTTTCTGCATAGTTCTTCCTTCTTTCATTACCGTTCTTTGCCTCCCACAACATGCAGTATCTCCACTCAACTGCATGCTAAGCAGGGAGGCTTTCTAAATGTCAGTGACTAGGCATGGTGACTGTATCCCACCTGTCTCACCTCCAGGAACAGCAGCAGCAGGACTTCGAATAACAGTTGCCAGGGAACAGCAGGAAAGGCTTTTGTCACCGTGTCCTGCTTATTGGTCTCTTATAGACTGTGGTTAACTATTGTGGAAAACAAGATGTTAAGTTAAATAGGCTTTTGATCTGATCCAGCAGGGCTCTAATCTACTAATTCTTAAGCAGTAAATGATTGTTTGCCAACAGTGACAGTGAACACGATTGCATTCACCAAAGTGATGATGATGCGAACAAGCCCTGGGTACGATTCATATGATCTTGGCAGCTGAGCTGCTTTCTTGTGAACAAGGTGTGGAAACTGATAGTGACTTCTAACTATTGGGACTGGTGTGCCTAAAGCTGAATTCTATACCTACCATATTTTTCGCTCTATAAGACGCACCTGACCATAAGACGCACCTAGTTGAGGAAAACAAGAAAAAAATATTCTGAATCAAATGGTTTACTAAACTATTTAATAAACTATAACAGAATACAGTAATACCGTATTTCAACCTTGTAAAGTGAACAGCAGTCAACAGTGGCATTAAGAACCATCATCACTGTCATTAACAAAAGAGAGACTTTAAAGTTCAAGTACTCTTCTAGTTTTCGTTGAACCCATAGAACTCATCATCACTAGAGTCAGAATTTATGAAGCTCTGTTGCTCACGATCACTGACATCACTTTCTTAGTCAGTAGTGAAATTATTGAAGGAATGCACAATCTACACAGTTATACAAGAGCTGCTGCAGACAATTCAATAACAAATCTAAAAAAGCCAAATCTAAAAAAGCCGGTGGTGGTCTTCCGGGCAGGGCGGCGGCAGGTCTTCCCAGGTGGTGGGGGTGAGCAGTCCATCTCTCCGTGCGGCTGGCGGGTTAAAGCCCGCGGCTGCTGCTCCTCCGCACCTCTCCCCCTGAGCGGCACAGCTTTCACCTGCGCCGGGGGGGGGGTGCGGAGCCGGGCACGCCGAGTGCGTGCCGGCCAGATGGTGCCATGTGGTGCAGGCGGGCCGGCAGCGTCCCGGGCGTCGGGCACATACACATTTGCTCTATAAGACGCACAGACAATTCCCCTTTTGAGGAGGAAAAAAGTGCATCTTATAGAGCAAAAAATACGGTAATTATACTAAGCCCATTTGATTTCAGTAGGACTTACTTCTGAGTAGACATGTAGCATTCCCCCCCCATTTTAAATTTAAAATGGCAGCTTTGATGGAGCTTCTACTTTTTATTGTAACTTGGCATTCAGCTGTCTTTATGACTAGATAAAATGTTCATTCACAAATGCAACTGAATATTACAGCAGAATTTTTCTTCTAGATACAAGGACTGAAGGTTAGTTAAGGCTATTTTTTCTTTATGTCTCAGGTACAGAGCAAGTTGATTTGAGGACAAAAGGATTTATGAATGTTGTCATCACCGCCTTTTCATTTGTCTAAAGAGTAATGTACTAGTGATTAAATTATTTAGCCTGTTTTTGTTGTCATTTTTAAACTCATCAGACTTTTTATTTAATATTTTGAATAAATTTCTAACAGACATTTTAAAATATTAACTTTTTCTTTTAATTTTGAATTTAATGCTGAACATTTTTCTCCTAGAGAATGGTTTTACCTAAAGATGTCTGCTGGTGAAAAATAAACATCTGAGTGATACTTTAATTAAATCTCTCTTGCTGTACTTCATAATTACTGTCATTGGTCTTTGGTCATACTCACATTTTAAAACAAAACTCGCTAATGCAAAGCTTTTACAATCTCAGCTACTTCCTGAAAGGCAAATGTAGAACATGGCAGCAGTTTACATGATATGATTAGTGCTTCTGCATTGGGTGAAACCATAAAGGCTGATAAAGGCAGCTTTTTCTAATATCCTTCCATTCCCCAGTCACGTTTACTTTTATTTCAGTCATGCTTTCTTACACTTTTTCAGACCTCTTAGTCCCCAGTGCTATAAGAAGGGGAAATTAGACTGTTAGTCCTCTTTTTCCTCATTTCAGGTGCTGGCAGAAACCCAAGATCAACAAACAGAAATTGAGGAGAGATTTCATATATAGAAGACACACACACACACACACACACACACACACACAGATCAAAAGTAATGGCAAATTATGTCAGAGAAAATCATTTGTTTAGAGTGAAGTCAGACAAAGCTTTTTTAGATCACTGGCCTAGTTTGAAAGTATTTTCATCAATTTCAGTACAAGTACAGTTTCTTTCTTCCCTTGGGAGAAGTGGCTGAAAACCTGGTTCTGCAAGTTTCTTGTGCAACCAGTTTGAACTGAGGGCAACAGCATTTGTCTTAAATAGCACTTCTGGCAGTGTCTGCTCATTTCTTTTATCTCTCCCCATGCTGCTCCCTGTCCCCCAACCCCCCACACATACTCCTGGTCACTAGAGCAGTTTGGCAACTTTAGGGGTTGGGGGAAATTGTGTAAAATGAAGTGAGAATGAATAAATGCAGAAAGCCACTTCTACAAGTTGTTCAAATGGTATATGTGTATTTGCATGAGAATGGAAAACCTGACAAAGCATTTAGGACTTTAAATATTAAAACAAACAATTCGAATTGCAACCAGAAAGCAATTGGCAACAAAATAAAGAGCTTTTGAGACAGCTAGAATATGGTCTTGATCCCATATACTAGTTAACAGCCTTGCTGCTTCATTTTGCACCTAGTGAAGCTTCCAGACATTCTTCATGAGTAGCAACATATAGAGCTCATTGTACTGGTCAAAATGTGATCCCAACAAGGCATGGATACCTGGCTAAGTGAAACTGACAATGGAAGGGTCATAGCCAAATATAGCTGACCAAATTCATTCCTTGCTGTTGCTGCCACCTGAAGATCTCAGGAAGTGTATTGTCAAGGAGCAATCTCAAAATTATGTACTTGAACCTTCAAGGGGAGTGCAAACTCTTCCAGAGCAGGTTTAATCCAAGTCAGTTTTTTAATTGACCAACACTGTTTCCATCTTATTTGGGTTTAACCACAATTTATTCACGTTTATCTGACATTCTGTCTGTGATCTTCTTGAACAAGATTAGAAAAGCCATGCTGGGTGAGTCCAAGAGTCTATATAGTTCAGCATTTTGTTTGCCTGCAGACTCCTACAAGCAAGAGTACAGTAGCAGCTTTTCTGCCCAACACTCCCAGCAATCAGTGTACATAGGTGTCCTGCCTATGATATTGGAACTAGCATATGGTCATCAGGACTAGTAGCCACTGATTTCCTGCTTCTCTGTGAATATATGCAGTCCCCATTCAAAATCATCCTAATTGGTGGCCGCCATTACTTTTCATGGAACTAAATTCTGTTGTTTAACTACATGCTGTGTGAAGAAGTACTTCCTTTATATCTGTGCTTAAGCTTCCACCAATCAGTGTTCTGGGATGATCCTAGGTTCTAGTATTATAGGAGAGGGAGTAAAATGTCATCTCTGCTTTCTCCTCACCATGCATGATTCTGTATACCTCTGTCATGTCTCTCTTTCCTTGCCTTTTTTCCTGTGTTAAATAATCATTATGGAATGTGCTCCCTTAAGGAAAAGCCAAATGAGCTTGCATCTCTCTGAATGTATGCATATTATCTTTAATTTGTTCTGAATAGTTTTCTTTTAATGTGTGTGCTATGCAATGGCTCTTTCGGCCAAGCCATATTTCTTAAACATCCTCTAAAATTATAATGGTTAAAAATGGTTCTTAAAAATCCTTGCTCATGCCCTATTGAAAAATAATGTGTGGCTTAGGCTCAGGTAGTAACCTGGATCTTCCAGAAAATTTTAGTATGCAAATTAGGTGGCTTTGTATTGGTAAAGATTGCTAACACACTGCTGAACTTGCAAAGTTCAGCAGTGGCCAAATGAGTGGTAATTTCTCTTTAAGCAGTGCTGTGCATGTGTGTGTGCAAGCAAAATTGTCTTCCTGGGAGGCTTCCAGGAGCCTGACTTTAGAACAAGGAATGTACTTTCCATGCACCTTGTATTAAGAGAAATTGCTGATTTGTGCTGCTGCATTATCAAATTTCAGCAGCAAATATCAGCACTGGGGCCAGAGAGAGGGGCACAAAAATGGCTAGGGCCCATGCGGGCAGTGTGTTGTCCACTCCTGTCTTAGTGAGTAAGCTATTTTAGAATCCTTATTTAAGGTTTTAATAAAATTAAAAATTTTAATAAAATTAAAACCCTAAATGTGTATGTATTTAATAAAAAGCAAACAGTTTAAAGCAGTGCCCCACATTAATGCTCTGTCCCAATATTCAACAAGTATTTGGTCTGAAATTTTTCATGAAAAAGAACATCTAATGTTACCTAAGCTGTAAATCATGTACAGTGGTTTATTGCTTGCAAAAATGTGAAAATAATAGCATGTGCTTCCTTCACATTATTTATATTTAAGCAAAAAGCATGTACTGAAAATGGTTGATATGCAGGGGGTGGAGGATCCTATTCGTGTTTAGGCAGAAACAATCCCTTGCATCCCTCCAGCCAGCCCAACACATTTTAGCAACCAAGAGAATGTTGTATCATAAACTGATAATCACCCATCTGTAACTTTGAAACTGCCAAGCATACCTAATAAAGTGTTTGCAGTTGGCATGCATTCATTGTTAATGAACAGCTTAAGAATTGAGAAAATTTTCATAGAAAAAGCATTGGAAATACTTTGGCCCACATCACTGAGCTCAAGTTTAAGCGTGAAATATACACTTTTAACTTGAATATGTGTACCAGCGTTCATTCTGAAATTATAATCTCCAAGGCATTTTTTGCAGTGCACCAGATTTTGTTATCCCCTCCCCTTTGAAAACAGGTGTGGTATTGATACTTCAAAGAAAGAATTAGGTTATAAATGTACAGCCCCTGATGATAGGCTGGATTGGATATTGCATTATATTTTGTTTTCCATCTTTCCTTTCTCTCTTGAAAACAGGTGGAGGTATTTGGATTTGTGTTTGAGATGTGAAATGGTTCCCTGAATAAATGCACCAAATTTTATTTCAGTATCAGTTTTCAACTCACTTTACAAATTGACTAATGGAAAGCCTAGAAAGCTAATAGTAAACCGAGGACTTCGCTCAACCACCAACCCTTCATTGTATAAGTAACTGCTCTGCTTCTGTTAACTGGTTACAGTAGCTGATACCTGCTATTTCAGGAAGTTAGAGATAATTGCATTTAAAGAAGTCAGGCTTCATGTCTTTAAGCTGTTTTATTCTGATCCTGCCATGCAGTTTGTAGAGACTTGCTTCCCTGATTCGTAATGATGTACTATCTGTTCTTGCCTTCCCAGGAGATTTACGGAGCTTAAACACTACAGCGATGAGCTGCAATCTGTCATATCACACCTTCTGAGAGTCAGAGCTGTAAGTGTTTTTGCTTTGCATTTCTTAAAGTACCAAATAAAAGACTGACTATATAGGGACATGGGAATGGAGAGAAAGCTGCTCTGCTGGCATTTTTCAAGTGACTTTCACTCCGCCATCTATCAATTAGCACTCTTGGAATTTGTGTAAATGTATTTGTATTCACGTGTATTTGTATCCCCCAAATGTGCAAGGTCATGGAGCATATGTATAATGGTGTGCTTGTGGAGAGGTCATTGACAAGCTTTTTAAACCTACATAAACAGTCACAGACCTGGTTTGGACAATCATACTGGGATTGTTGCGCTGAGCACCACCCAGTTTGCCTATGCTGAGTTATTTTTTCAAATCACTCTAAGAACCCACGGACTGTTCTAGTGTTGTTATCACCCACAGTGAGTTATCCAGACCACACTGTGCATCAGACCTGCCAGTCAACAAGCTGCTTGATAAGAGTTGCAAAAATCCCTTGCCATGGTAGCCGAGCAGCTGGCCCAGCAGCAGTTGCCGGGTGGCTGTCAGAAGCTTTCCCCCCATCCATGGTGGTACAGAGCAGAGTTTCTTGCCAACAGCACGAGGTGGCCATCCAAAGAGGTCTCCTCTAGAGCAGCCAGGGATGGTAGTAATCTGTTCCTCTTTGCCGAGGCAGTATGCCATGCCTCAAGCAAGGGGGAATGGACGTCCCTGCTGTAAGCTGAAGGAATCTACTCTATGCCTGTCAGCAAAATTTAATTTTGCTTTAAGCAATTGCTGTTACACAAACATCTTTTGTTCACTGAAACAGAATGGGGGTAAGTTCCAGTCTTGGATGGGGCAACATGGAGAAGTGTGCCCACTGCCTAGCATGCATGTCCCACTGCACATTGTTCCAGCCAAGGCTGGAGATCCCGCCTTCCCTTGCTTTCAGCTCCTAGAAGGCAAATCACCCATTGAAAGTAAAGAAATGGGAGCTCTTTCACTAGGAAGGGGATATATAGGGGATCTTCTCCCCAGCAAGATACTTTTCTTTCTTGCTTTCTCCTTCTTTGCTTGACTGTTCAGCTCTGCTTCCTGTTAGAAAAATGGTGGTGGAGTGCCCCTTTACTCTTTCCTGAGCCCCCAGACTGTTGGGACAAAGTTGCTTCCCCATGGGGAACAAAGGAGCAAGCAGAATGAGAAGGCTCCTCCTGGCAAAGAGCTCTTGGACCACTGCTTAGGAAAAAAATTTACAAAAACACCAAATAAGCAAATTAATTTTAAAAAATGGGCAGGCATGGTCTGTCCCCTCCCAGGTGCCACCAGGCACTTTGAAGGGACAGTACATTCCTTCCCCTTAAGGGTACAGTGAAAAGTGGTTTTGCAGCAAGCTTTTGATGTCCTGTATTGAAAAAAAAATAAAGGGACAGTTGCAAGAAGCTGAAATCAGCTCATACTCATAGCTGTAGGAGAAAGAAGATTCTCCCTTCCTTCCCTGGGATTCCACCTGGAGGAATGAGGGGGAAGGAAAGGAGTGATAGAGCCCAGTCATATGCTGGGCTCCTCATGTGTTTGCTGCAAAACAACCAATCTACCATGACTTATCCCAGGGTGAGTTCTTATATTATGTGAGTAACCTTATATACTGGATTCCCACAACACAACAAGCCACTGTGGAAACAAATGGAGGAAACATTGTACAAAAGCAGAGTGATTTCCATATAATGACTTGTTTGAGGGCGGCAAGTGACCTTGACAATCCATGGATTGTTGTAGGATTTGTTGAATTCACAATGAGTTGTTGAGTTTTCTGAACCTGGGCACCTTACTCCATTGAGAATAATGGGAATCAGCTGGTGAGTCACCCAGCAAAAGCTGCCTTTGCTGAGCTTGTCAGTGTCAGTTGCCCCACAAGTTCCCAAGCAACACTTTGAGGTGGTTGGCACTGGCCTGCTGCCCTCTTGACTGTGATGGTGAGCCAGTTGTGGTTCAGCAGAAGATTTTTCCCCTTCCTGAGATTGCCAATTCTGGTTTTGCAGAATCCATTTTGGCAGTCACTGGCAGTCCCTTTTCAGGGGCTTTTAGTGATCAAGAAACATGATGACAACAACAACTGTGCCCCATCAAACATTTTATTTATTTACCCAGTGCAGCTGTCTGTACAGCAGATGCCAACCCTGGACATTTATCAAATGAGGATCAATATGAGCTTTTTCCTCCCTTCGATTTCTCCCTTTCATTTTCAAAAGGCAAGCTTTTGGGATAAAGAAGGGCACAAGGGGTCTTAGCTCACAAAGATCTAGCTTGTTCAAAGAAGAGCCAACCGCAGGAAATTGCAAACATATATTCAGCTCCCTTCTCTGATGGGCTTACTATCTGGGTCCCCTTTAAAAGGGAGTTTTAACAGGGCAGTGGGTTTTTTTGCTGGGATATATATAGCCATATGCATATGCTATGTAAAGCTGCCAAATTAACTGCAATTATCTTATATTTCCTTTAGAGAGTGGCAGATCGACTATATGGTGTGTACAAAGTCCATGGGAATTATGGAAGAGTTTTCAGGTAAGCAATCAGAGTAATTTTTATAAGATCACTAGTTGATTTGGCATTAATATTTCAATATTTTATTATGTTCCTAATCATATGAATGTGCAAAGTAGGTAAAATCAGTAATAAAAAAACAACTGAACCATAGGACAAATTGAAAACACTACAAAGCAGCAGATATAATACTGGCATAGTATGCAGCAGGCACCGGGAGTCCTGGGAAGGTTATATGTGGTGTACAGGTGCCAAAGAGCCAATGAGGGAAAACTGACCAGTGATGGGATGGGAAGCAGGCAGAGAAAGGCCTTTCCCTACTGGAGAAACAGCCATTTGGAAAATGCTTTGTAGGACTGATGGAGAGGCAGTTGGGGTCCTCATGATTTTGGCCAAGCACCTAACAAGCTAGTTGAAACCTTGCAAAACCCATTCCTGAACAGTCTCCCATGTTATTTATTAATTGCACTTTTATCCAACCCTTGCTCCAAGGAGCTCAGAGTGACGTATTCAGTATATCACAGAAGTGAGTACACCCCTCACATTTACAAAATTTTATTATATCTTTTCATGTGACAACCCTGAAGAAATGACACTTTGCTACAATGTAAAGTAGTGAGTATACAGCTTGTATAACAGTGTAAATTTGCTGTCCCCTCAAATTAACTCAACACACAGCCATCAATGTCTAAACCACTGGCAACAAAAGTGAGTACACCCCTAAGTGAAACTGTCCAAATTGGGCCCAAAGTGTCAATATTTTGTATGACCACCATTATTTTCCAGCACTGCCTTAACCCTCTTGGGCATGGAGTTCACCAGAGCTTCACAGGTTGCCACTGGAGTCTGCTTCCACTCCTCCATGATGACATCACGGAGCTGGTGGATGTTAGAGACCTTGCACTCCTCCACCTTCCATTTCAGGATGCCCTGCAGATGCTTGATAGGGTTTAGGTCTGGAGACATGCTTGGCCAGTCCATCACCTTTACCCTCAGCTTCTTTAGCAAGGCAGTGGTCGTCTTGGAGGTGTGTTTGGGGTCATTAACATGTTGGACTACTGCCCTGTGGCCCAGTCTCCGAAGGGAGGGGATCATGCTCTGCTTCAGTATGTCACAGTACATGTTGGCATTCATGGTTCCCTCAATGAACTGTAGCTCCCCAGTGCCGGCAGCACTCATGCAGCCCCAGACCATGACAATCCCACCACCATGCTTGATTGTAGGCAAGACACACTTGTCTTTGTACTCCTCATCTGGTTGTCGCCACACACGCTTGACACCATCTGAACCAAATAAGTTTATCTTGGTCTCATCAGACCGCATGACATAGTTCCAGTAATCCATGTCCTTAGTCTGCCTGTCTTCAGCAAACTGTTTGCGGGCTTTCTTGTGCATCATCTTTAGAAGAGGCTTCCTTCTGGGACGACAGCCCTGCAGACCAATTTGATGCAGTGTGCAGCGTATGGTCTGAGCACTGACAGGTTGACCCACCACCCCTTCAACCTCTGCAGCAATGCTGGCAGCACTCATACGTCTTCCCAAAGCCAACCTCTGGATATGACGCTGAGCACGTGCACTCAACTTCTTTGGTCAACCATGGTGAGACCTGTTCCGAGTGGAACCTGTGCTGTTAAACCACTGTATGGTCTTGACCACCATGCTGCAGCAATCTTCTTGCTGTCTTGGGAATCATCTTATAGTCTAGGCCATCTTTATGTAGAGCAACAATTCTTTTTTTCAGATCCTCGGAGAGTTCTTTGCCATGAGGTGCCGTGTTGAACTTCCAGTCACCAGTATGAGAGAGTGAGAGCAATAACACCAAATTTAACACACCTGCTCCCCATTCACACCTGAGACCTTGTAACACTAATGAGTCACATGACACCGGGGAGGGAAAATGGCTAATAATGCCCAATTTGGACAGTTTCACTTAGGGGTGTACTCACTTTTGTTGCCAGCAGTTTAGACATTGATGGCTGTGTGTTGAGTTATTTTGAGGGGACAGCAAATTTACACTGTTATACAAGCTGTATACTCACTACTTTACATTGTAGCAAAGTGTCATTTCTTCAGGGTTGTCACATGAAAAGACGTAATAAAATATTTACAAAATGTGAGGGGTGTACTCACTTCTGTGATATACTGTATTCTTCTTGGTCCATTTACTCCTTACAACCATCATTTGAGGTAATTACCCAGCAGGATTCATGGCTGAGTAGATATTTGAACCTAAGTTTCCCTAGCCATAATTGTACCATGAATGTCACAAAATGTCACCATCAAGTCCAACCGGAACCTGGAATATTTTGCAATTTATCAAAAAGAAGTGTATCCTTCCCAACCTGGCCAAAAAATGTATCAGTCTTCCTCTTGACTACATACCTCTCTTGTGTTGATTGGCTTTGATTATTGTCATCTGGAAGTAAATGCTTGTGCACCAAAAGCATGTGGATAACTTCATGGCTATTTCTTTGATGCATTGCTTACTTTTATACTGTTTTCCCATCAGATATAAATAGCTCCTTATTTCTTATTGAAGGCAAGTAGAATGATATTCTTGACCTCTAAACATTCCCAGACAGGACGTCCAGGCTTAGCCTTCTATAGTTTTATTTTCTATTAGTAATGAGAAAGTCTAAAATCCAAAAGGGGTTAATTTTGAATGGGTCAAAGCCTTTCCCTATCTTATCTCCCAGAACACTATATATTTTGCAGTTTTTAACAAAGTTTATATTAAGAGGAAACTGTATTTGGAAACTCCATGAATTTAAATTGTGAAGGTTTTGCTTGTCAAGAAGCTCTTCCCCAAAGTCTGGAGAAGTCATTCATAATTTGGCTGTGTGATGTGATGTTGCTTTCCAATTTTAAATTTTCACACAAAGTTTCCTTTTGGGAATGGTGGAATGGATTCATAAACTGCTGGAGTTTGTACAACAAACAAACAATCATAAAAATACTAGATTAGGGACAGCATGTTTTAAAATAGGCTCATAGTTTTAATTCAAAAGTGCTGCTCGGAGGTAGTGCAGCAGTTTAACCAAGCATAACATGAAGGTTTCCCCATAGAGCTATCACCTGGGGAGGAACTACTTACAGGACACAGCTTATTAATTTCCTCAACCCGTATGTACAATGTTGTTTCTTAGTTAACTTGCTTTTCTTCTTTAGTGAATGGAGTGCAATAGAAAAGGAGATGGGGGATGGGCTACAGAGTGCTGGTCATCACATGGATGTGTAAGTATTGCCTTTCTGAGAACTGATGGAAGCCAGATGGACACATTAAACAAGGAGGGACTGGGAAAGTGTAGTTTTGAGAAAATGCTGTGCATTGAAGAATAGCACTGTAGGCTGTGCAATATTTCACTGGCTTTTTTAAAAAGTTGGGCTGTTTTAGAATCTATTGCATTAAGTAGTCCAAAGAGTCCCTGGTGACTTAAAGGGAATTACTTTTATTATCATTTTGAAACTATAGAAGAGGTTGGCATTCTTCCAGTGTTTCCTTTAAGCTACTATGCCAGAAACTGGTAGAACAAAACCTAATGTACTGCAGGCCTGATATTCTCCACTTGTTTGATAGCAAGCACTGTGCACTATCAACCAGTAGTGAGCCTTTGCACTATATATGGTAAATGTATAAATTTTGTTTTTAGCAATCCCATCTGTTCCATATCTGACTAGGGGGCAGGGTCTGTGAGCATCTGTGAGCCATTTTCACCCTAATAGCATTTTGGTAATTGAGAGCAAAATTAGGGTGACTTGTTATACACGTTGATAAAACTGGAAGATGAAACTGAAAGATGCCAGAGTAAGATAGTGGGCAGAGTAAGGTGCTTGCTTAGATGTCTGTTTCCAGATTCTGTGTTATAGGTTCATGTTATGAAAAAGAAACTCAGATATCCACTTGACTGTCTCAGTATTTGAAAAGGGAAGCCTCTGTTGCCAATAGTTGCTGTCTACCTCATAAGTACCCAGGCAGCACTTTAAGGTGACTGGCATGGCTGAATGGCTCCTTCCATGAATATGAGCCATTTCAGCCCATACACTGCTTATCTGGAAATTGTGAAAGCCACCTTGACTGTTGGCTTTCATGATCCCTATTTTGACAGTCCCTGTCAAATGCCCCAGCAGCATAATGGAGGGGCTGTCATGGTCAGGAAACCTTTTTGTATTATTCATGCTCACACTGTGAGCATTTTGCCACACTTGCAAAAGTGTGTAGGTGCACAGCTTTGTGAATGCCCCAGTTGGAAGCCTTGACTAGGAATGCATGACACTGCGAATTCTGCTTTATTTTAACCTGATGAATTTCTGCAGCATTTTGTATTGAACAATTGGAAACTGACCATGTTGGAAATTTATTTTTAGTCTCTGAAAATGAGTGTAAAGTAGTAGTGCACATTGAGAACTGGGATCTGTGTGTCTCTAGTTCTATTTGCAAAATGGTGACTTGCTTAAATTAGAACAGTTAGGCAAATTGGACCTGCATCTTTTAATTTGTGTAACTGGTTTTGTGTTTTTCTTTTATTGCATTCACAAATCTATTATGTAACCCTGAGCACAGCATACTCTGTTGGTAAATACCACTGCCAATTTCATCCTCTCAATACATGGTCATTAGCTCACCATATTCCCTACTTCACAAAGAACCTGCCATTGTCAGTTTTGTCCTATTCTGCCCTATGGATTTCTGTGATTTGCACATATCAAATAGACACATTTTAAAATTATTATTTTCAGTTATTTTTCAGGTCCCATGATTTCTGCCAACAGGATCATGGTTATTTAGACTCTTTGTTCCATCTATTGCCTGTTTATAATGATTGCAGGTTATTGCTAACAACATTAATGAGGAAGGTTGTAGTAGCAGGGTAATCAGCTGAAGTCAGACTGGCCCCTGTGAAAGGCTCGTCTTCACACAAACTTGGAATTGTTCGCAAATTTTGGGATCATTAATTTGCACACATTTCTTGAGTATTAAAAAGACTTGCACAAATTGAATGCCATTTTAAAGGCAGAAATCTGCATGCTGGCTTAATGTATTAATCCTGGACATTAACCCAAAGAAACTCCAACTAGGCTTTTTCATCTCTTTGGTTTCTCTTGATATCTGCCAGAAGATGAGCTGTCAAGGAAAGAGAAAAGTATGAGTGAGCTTTGCTTCTGAAAAGAAATGGGTAGGATTCACACCCCTTTTGCAGCAAGATCCTCTTTGGTGTGGGTAGGAGGGAATAGAGTCTCCTAAGTGCTGTCTCACTTTTCCAATTGTATCCAAGATTCTAGGTGCTCAGGAACATGGAAAAGTGCAATCCACTGACTTTTAAAGGGATCTGCCAGTTTTGACAGCTAGCTATCAAACTTCCAGCTCCGTATAAGAGGGAGTTTTGTAGGCTCTCCCATGATTTCTTGACAGGGACATAGACAGGCATGGATGCGTGTGACCTTGTCATGAATCCATAGAGCGTGCTGCCAAATACTAGTTCAATTCCAATTTCTTTTTAAAAACTCGTTGTAAAAACTCTGGTGCCTTTTAAAAGTGAGCAGCTAACAGTTCTCTTAAGTTCCTGAGCACCTGGAGTCTCAGGTGAAATTGGAGAAGTGAAATCATTGATAGGATAGTCCAGTGCACAAAATGGGATCGTGCCACAAACAAGGTCTAAATCCCGCTATGCCCTTTTCATGAACAAAGATCACTCATGCCTCTGGGTTCCTTTACCAGTTCCTTTCCCTGCCCCACTCACACTTCAGTTTTTAGCTTCCTGTTTGGTCATTGTTAGTGAGTGGCCATAAACTATGTTAACCAATCTTTCTGGATTTTTTCCTCTCAGAATAAAATTGTCTTCTGAGAAGAAAATTTTGACAAATAAAAACTTGATATTTTATTGTAACAATGACTTGGAAATTTTGAGGAGGCACAGTTGGGGCACAGTGTGTTATTTATTAATTTTTCTGAATTTAAAATAAACTTAGCCCTCTATTAGGACATGAAGGTCTTAAAGCATTGCTCCAAGTTTGGTTTGTTATCTCAGGTCCATTTATTCATTTATTTGCCAGGTATGCTGCATCTATTGATGACATACTAGAAGAAGAAGAACATTATGCAGATCAACTGAAAGAATATCTCTTCTATGCAGAAGCTCTTCGGTAAGTTCATTGTTACATCTCTTGTAGTGATTCGGGTTGCATTTAATGTTTTGTAGTTGAGCTAATTTTTAGGCAATTTGCAAAATAATTGTCCATGCAGCGTACAGGAGACTGCAAGACCTTGCTCATCCATGGAATCCTTGGACAAGTTACTGCCTGACAGCCTCACTCCTGATCAGTATGCAGTGTGGAAGTCCTGATGGCTCACAAAGAAACAGTGACATGGATTGTAATAGAGTCTGAGAGTACATGACAGGGCCAACATTGGAAAGACCAAATTATCCTCTTCTGTATTGTGAAGAGATTTTGACATCTGTCCTCATTATTTTATATTGTTCTAAATTAATCAATTAAATAATAAATACAAAGCCAATAAAACATAGAAAACAAGTATTTAGCAGATAAAAAGCCTGCTTGATTATAAAATGTATTCAACTGATGAAGGATGTTCGGAAATCCATCCATGTTCTTCGTCGTGGCCTCTGTGCATCACACATATGGGGACTTCACTTGCGCAGTGCCTGTAGCTGGGAAGAGTTAAAAGCTTAACGGTTTTGGCGGGAACTCTGTACCTCCCCCCCATAGTATAAGAAGGTGGAGTGCCCGCCATTTTCCCAATCTTCTTGCGATCCCCGTTCGCTGTGCCTCAAGCTTTTCGTCTCTCAGTTCGTAGCTATATTGTGTATCTTGATCCCCTTTAAACTGTTGCTCACTATTCACTTAGCTTTCTTGTTATGATTTCCAAGTTATTCATCCCTCCCCGATAGAAGTTTTCTTCACATCCCCTTCCCCCCCAAAAATAAGTTTATTCTCTTCTTACATTTCTTGTCTTCGCTATCTTCTCCTTTTCAATCTCGATGGCTCAGTGTGCGGCTTTCCACAAGTGTTCTCAGTGCGGGGCTAAGATGTCCCCCACTGATCTGCACAACCTGTGCCTTCTTTGCCTTGGAGAAGGTCACAGGACCGATAAGTGCGGGCATTGCCAGGCCTTTACCAAGCAGGTGTGAAAAAACTGGGAGAACCGCCTGCACAAGCTCCTCTGGGACCAGGCCTTGGTCGCATCTGATCAACTGGCGGCCCAATCCGCGGTGCAGTCCTCCTCTTCGGCTGCCCCTCTGCCCCACCCATTGGCTTATGGCATTACTCTGCCGGAGGGTAAGTGCTCCTCTAAGTCTCCTCACAAACAAAAGGAGAAGAGGAAGCACAGCGGAACTGACAAGTCCTCGGGCCATAAGAAGCCTAAGAAGGACAAGGCAGACAAGATGGCTCACAACACCAAGAAGGCTGATCAGCCCCATCATCGTGATTTGGGATCGTCTGTTCCGTCGGTCCCAACGGCTGCTTTGGTACTAACACCAACCAGACCGGCTCTCCAACTGGCACTGCAGGTGACCCTGCCAGGGTCCCCGCGATGGGTCACTCCTTCCGTCTTGTCCTCGCCAGAACATCAGGAGGCAGCCATGCTGGGATCGATTTCCAACAGGGAGATCCGGGTCTCTCCTCAGATGGCTCCTCCGATGGCACACTCACCTACACCGCAGCCTTTGCCTAAGGCTTCCCCGAGGGCTCCACCTCATCAGGTGTGGTACCAGCAGTGTGCTTCTGTCCATCTGTCCAGAGAATGGGTGCAAGCGCTGCATGGATCTGCCCATCATGAACCATGGGACGACTATGCACCATATGGATATTATCCATCGGTATGCCAGCGTACTCTGTCTCTGATGCTGAGGGATGCTCCATAGACCTCTGCAACAGCTCAGACCAGGCACCTTTCCTCACTGGCCAACTCCTCCAGTCCCCCGTTCCATTACGATTTCGAGTCAGAGGATTCGGATGTAGCATCCACCTCACCGGACACTGTGATTACCACCCAAGGTCCCTGCTCATCCAAGGAGTCGTATTCAACGTTTGGGAAGCTGATGGGGAGATTGGCTAGGTCACTGGAGATCGAGGCCCAGCACCACTTCGATCCCAGTACCAATAAGTTCTATAACATTGTGAATAGAGAACAATCCGCCGCCATCATTCTGCCACTCATCATGATGCTCTGTCAGGCGATAATGGAACCATGAAACTTCCCCAACCAGCCACAGCCAACTTCATGGCGATACAAATCTATGTATCAAGTTCAAGAACAGGACAGTCCATTTCTCCTGAACCACCTGAGGCCGAACTCGATCATTGTGGAGTCGTCCCAGGGTTACGAGTCGAGAGAACACACCACTCCTTGTGACAAGGAAGGGCAGAAGATCGACATGATGGCCCACCGTATTTACGCCACCACAGGTCTCGGGCTCTGGATCTCCAATTATGAGGCGACGCCGGCTCGTTACCAGTATTTTCTCATGCAAAAACTGGAGAATATTACAGCTCCCGGCGTAACAGAGGGACCTGGCTCGCATCTTCACCAAGGAGGTGATGCAGGTGGCGATTCAACAGCTCTCTATGGCGAGGTATCATGTCGATTGCAACTCGAGGGCCCCTGTTTCACATCTTTTGCTGAAACCACCCACTTTATTGCTCATTCAGCTTCTATTGAAAATGTTCTTCAATTTCTATTATCCTTACACCAGACTGGACTCAAGCCTTCATCCATTAAGGTGTACATCACCGCAATTTCTCACTACCATGGCCAGGTTGCCGGCTCATTGGTATTCTCTAAAGTCTTTATTCGTCAATTCCTTAGAGGCTTACAGAATCTCCAGCCACCGGTTAGATCAGTCGTTCTGATGTGGAGCCTCTCTGTTGTCCTTCACACGCTTACCAAACCTCCTTTCGAGCCCTTGGCAACTACCAACTTAAGTCTCTTGTCATGGAAGACTGCCTTCCTTGTTGATATCACATCAGCTAGAAGGGCCAGTGAACTCTGTGCGCTCCGTATAGACCCTCCTTATCTCAATTTTCACAAGGAGAAGGTCGTTCTGCGTACTAATCCGGTGTTGCTTCCAAAGGTCGTGTCACCCTTCCATGTCAATCAGGACATTGTCTTACCAGCCTTTTTTCCTACTCCATCTACGCCTGTGGAGCGCTCGCTACCCTCCCTTGATGTTCGTCGATGCCTCGCTCTATACAGGTCTCTTACAAAACCTTTTCGCAATACCAGACGTCTTTTCATCAAGTATTCTGAACATGACAAAGGGTCCCCCATCGGGTCCCAAAGACTCTCAAAATGGATTGTTCAGACCATTGAACTGGTCTATCAACTTTTTAAACTAGACTTACCTGTGGTGCCCAGAGGCCATTCCACGAGGGCTGTTGCAGCTTCCTCTGCTGGCATTCCGCTTTATAACATTTGCAAGGTGGCCACTTGGACTACCCCTTGCACATTTGCCAGACATTACTGCCTTGATGTATGTGCCAGACTGGATTGCTCCTTTGGTCACACAGTCCTTTCTTCTGTTCTTCAGTGACAACACCGGGTCCGGTAAGCTTGCTTATCACCCATATGTGTGATGCACAGAGGCCACAACGAAGAAAGGCAGGTTGCTTACCTGTAACTGTTCTTCAAGTGGCCATCTGTGCATTCACACAACCCACCCGCCGGCCCCACTCAGTGTCGGTGACTGGGTTTCTATGGTACCATGTTTCGTTTTGTTACGGATCCGTAGGATATATCTTCATGTACATTTATATTTACCTTTAGTTTTTAAACACTTGATGTGTAATACTTTTTGCTTCCGCTTGGGGGCGAATGGTTGGTCTTCAGTAGACTGAGAAGATGGCGGGCACACCGCCTTCTTATACTGTAGGCAGGGAGGGGTGCGAAGTTCCCACCAAAACTGTTAAGCTTTTAAATCTTCCTGGCTACAGGCACTGTGCAGGCGCAGCACCCCTATGTGTGAATGCGCAGATGGCCACTCGAAGAATGACAGTTACAGGTAAGCAACCTGCCTTTTCTCAGGGTGTGGTGAACCATTGAGAAGGCTCTATTTCTGGCCATCATTAACTGAGCCTTCCCTCTATATGGAACACATTGAACAGGTTCACAAGACAAACAACCCACAGTGGGTAATTTGATCAACGGTGAGACTTTGGTGCTTGCAAGACATGAATGGCCACCATTGTGCATATCCAATCCCCACCTGACTGCTGTGCAAACCTGATGAGCATGGGTTATGTGAGGGTGATGTGTAAGCCTCATATAACACACACTTGCCAAGTTCTCACAACACAGCAATGCCCAGGAGTCAGATATACAAAGCAGTGCTCATGGGTGTAATGGCTTGTTGTGGGACAAATGGCTCATGATGGCATGTGCCATGTCATACAAATCAGGCCATTACAGGCTTTATTCTGTTCTTAAGGGGCAGACAGGTGGATATTGGAGAAGGTGGTCTTTCTGGTTTTGTGGACTGAAGCCATTCAGAACTTTTACAGATCATTGCTTAGAACTGCATTGGGAATCGAAACAGCACCAAGTGCAGGGCCTCAGGATAGATGAAACATGATCCTATGAGTGCATGCCCACTAGGATCCTGGTTGCTTCATCCTGGTGCAACTGACACACATTTATTCCTAAGGTATGTGTCTTGTCTGAGGAAACTTCCACATTAAAATGGCCTCAACTGAAATGTACATTGCATGAATGAAAGCCCAAGCTGTATCTCTTCTGAAATTGATGAACTTGGTGAGGCAAGAAACAAAGCTTAATGCAACATCAGGCAAGCAGCTTCCCTTATCATGTTAATTTTACTGGAATTTCATTAATAAAAGTGGGATTGTTAAATTCATGATGGATAAGTTTGTTTTAGATTACATGTGTTTAAAATAAAGCTGACTTTAAAAACATAACGAGAAAGTTTCATGTGAGAGCTTTGATCATTTTCAGGGCAGTTTGCAGGAAACATGAACTTCTGCAATATGAGTTGGAAATGGCTGTTCAAGATCTGACATCGAAGAAGCAGCAGTGTGAGGAATTGGCAACAGGAGTAAGCCTAATTTTATTTTTTACAAAATCTAGCATTCAAGAGAGCCAGGCTTTAACCTAAATTACATTAATGTATGGCTTGCTGACAGGACACTCATGAAGAGTCTTACGCAGGTTGTACATCTTAATGTGATTTATTTCCCTGTGATTTATGCTGTCCTTTCAATAGATGTTTATGTGTTGCCTACAAGAATGTGTAGCATGCTACTGGACACAGTGCAGTTTTTGAGCTTGGACAGAGGCAGTAGAGAGGAAGGGAACAAACCTTTCCTTTTTAGACATGATAGGTGCAGTTCCTTGCATGTTTAGGCAAAAAAAAAACAACAACAACAACAAACCAGCATTCCTACAGCTGGTTGAGCATACTGGAAATTGTAGGTCCTTTTTTGTCTAAACAAGCATAAGATTGTAAAATGATTATAATATAACCTTACTTGTTCAGTAGCTTGGGAGATACTTGGTTGGTATGGAAACATTGGAGTCGTTCCGTTACTCATGTTTAGGCATGTCCAATGGCTGCTTCCCTTTGAAACGAGTTAATAATTTGGACACATTTTGTGACACAAAGTTCTTTAATATGTATGGGTATGCATGTTATTCTCAACTATTTGTCTGTCTCTTGGAGCTTAGCACAAGGTCAACATAGATGGATTCTCTCTACCCTTTTGACAGCTAAAAGTAATACTGCAACACTGGAAGGATAAACAGCCATGTGCCATAATACAATTGGTGGAGGACTTGATGCAACTTTTGAGTTTTGAGCAGGTGGTTTTTAGGCATAATTTATGCCTAAAATATATGGATACTTGGGCTGCCTTTGTTGAAGTCTGTGCATACCTGTCTCCAATTACAGTAGCATATCTTGCTATGGATAAAATATATAAGCATACGTAGGATATATGTATTCAGTGTAATAGATTCAGTTAAATCTCAAGTAAGAGAATTTCAATATTTTATTTTCATTTTATTTTTTCCTTTTTCTTTGGGTTTCAGTTTTGATATTGAAATTCACAATAAAAATATGTATAAACAGGAGTGCTCTCAACTTCTGATATGACAGGGATATTAAGTGAATTGTAATAGTTATACTGTGCATGGTAGTGCTGTTATAATAAGCACATTGCACACAACCATCTTTAGGATGGCCCTGTTTGTTAGTCATCTACCCCCGTGCATGCTATTTATGTAGTAGTGAGAAAGAAGTTGCTCACTTCAGTAGGAGAAAAGAGAGGAAGACATTTGGACATTTATTGGCATTTCTAAAAATCTGCCATGGAAAGGATGGATGTTGGAGAGGACAGAAAGGGATGGTATAATTAAGCATTGTCCTTGAGGCTTAGGAATGTGCTATGGGCTTCTGTTCTTCTCTTGTTTTTCTTCCTCCCAGCTTCTTACCTCCATTACTGGTTGTTCCAACTGGAGCTTGTCATGATGCCTCAATTGGGCAATCAATGGCTGGTGCAGCCCAGAAATAGAGAAGGGCATCAGTGCTTGAGATGGGAGCATGTAAGCTGGTAGCATCCTCTTAATATGAATTGTGCTTTATAGAACTAGCTAAAAAAATCCCTATAAATCTGTCCTGAAATGTTTTCATCTCAACAAATTAATCTCCTTTAGATAACATGCGTGCCTGTGTGCTCTTGTGATTATAATGTCAGACTAGAATTAAGCAGACCTGCTCAGCCATGATAATCCCTGGGGACAGTCAGTCACTCCCAGCCTAAATTACTTCACAGGGCTGTTGTGAGGAACTGGGGAGAAATGTGAAATGTGTGTGCCATCCTGTGCTCCTGAGAGTAAAGGTGGAGGGGAAAATCTGACCAGACAGAGGTTCTGTATCAGCTTTCCCCATCCATGTATTTGGGCACTCTGTTTTCTTGGAGGAGAAGAAACAATTTTTTTAGAGCATAATACTTAATCTTATTATTATTAATCTTTTTTAGACAGTGAGAACATTCTCTTTGAAAGGAATGACCAGCAAGCTTTTTGGTCAGGAAACACCTGAACAAAGAGAAGCAAAGATAAAGGTTTTAGAAGAACAGATACATGAAGGAGAAGAGCAGCTCAAAACAAAGAATTTAGAGAGCAGGTAACTCTTAAAAACGTTTAAAGAAAAATTAGATTGTTGAAGTCATAAAAACTGTGTAAGCTCTGTATGTGTGCATTTATATGTATTTATGTATTTCTGTTCATGAATTTTTTTGTTACTGACAAACACTTTATAGTTACTGCTCTGAGGCAAAACTGATCATCTTCACAGTTACAGTTGCAAATTTAATGGTTTATTGTTTATATTAAAGTAAGATATTTGCTGCCCAGCAGAGCTCTTTACTACCCTTGTAGTAGGTTCAAGGCCTACTACATACTGGCCCCAAGGACATTTGAGAGCCACAGTAATATATTTTCTAGTCATTTCCAGGATTAAATATCTTGCATCCACAAGGACTTAGGCTCCAATTTTGCCAGCAGTTGAATCTGGCAAAGTCCCTGGAGCATGGCCTACTCTAATTTTCTTGGATGGTTTTCACTTGGTTCAAGTTGAGGGTGTTGATAAGGTGCGCAGACATGCCTTGTGCAGCCACATCCATACCAGGTCCTTGCTCCTCTTGGCTTATAAAACCTAGCAGAGGGGGAATAGGCAGGTAAGCTAGAGAGGTGATCAGTGCCTTTTTACAAGAGGGAATGATCCCATGCTGCTGTAAATCAGTGGTGGTAAGGCTACTCCTGAATAAATTCTATCTGGACCTGGAAGATCCAAATAATTTTAGGCCTTGGAAAGGTCACTGAGCAGGAGATTGCTAATCAGCTCCAGGCACTGTTGGATGAGACTGATTATCTGGATCTATTTTTGTTGGGGTTCAGATGAGGTTTTGGTACAGAAACAGCTTTGGTGGCCCTATACAATGGCCTGTGCTGGGAGAGAGATAGTGCGTATGACCTTGTTGATAATCCTGGATATCCCTGGAGCTTTTAGTACCAACAAATGGTACACTTCTGGAAGACCTGTCCGAGTTGGGGATAGAAGATACTATATTGCAGTGGTTCCACTCCTTTTAGAGGGCTGTTTCAGAAGGTGGTGCTGGGATATTGCATGGCCCTGTGAACTCTCCAGTATGGGGCTTCTCAGGGATTGCTATTCACCCTCTACACAAAACAGCTGAATGGGGTCATCTGGAGTTTGGGAGTGCATTGTAATCAGTATGCTGATGACACGCAGCTCTATTTTTCCTTTTCATCTTCAGCACTGGATGCACTAAACTAGTGCCTGCCTCTGTCAATGGACTGGATGAGAGAAACAAAGTAAAGCTCAATCCAGACAAGACTGAAATGCTGTTTGTGGGCAGTTCCTTAGATTGGATGGAGGATGCTCAACCTGTTCTAGATGGGGTTGCACTGCCCTTGAAAGATCAGGTTTGTAGCTTGAGTGTCTTCCATGAACTATCTTTGCACTTGAAGCCTAGGTGGCCTCAGTGGCATGGAGTGCCTTCCATCAGCTTTGGTGGCCCAAGTATGCCTCTATCTGGACAGAGATAGTCTGGCTTTACTAATCTGCACTCTGGTAATCTCTAAGATAGACTACTGCAATGCAGTGTATGTGGGGCTGCCCTTGAGGACAGTTCAGAAGCTACAGCTTATGCAAAATGCAGCAGCCAGACTAATAACCAGCACCAGGTGGTCTAACCATATAACTACGATTTTGGTTCACTTGCATTGGCTGCCTACATGCTTCTGAGCCCAATTCAAGGTGCTAGTTTGACTCTATGAAGCCCTACATGGATTAGAACTGCAGTACTTGATGGAATGCCTCTTCCCACCACTCAGTGTCTGAAGCCTTCCACTGAATGCCATCACCAAGGGTGGTCCAGAAAGAGGCAACAAGGAGGAGCATCTTCTCTGTGATTTCCCCCAGAAATGAAATTATCTCCCCACCAGGGCCTGCCTGGTACCAACTTAATTATCATTTTAGCATCAGGTTAAGACCCCACCCTCTTTGCTTTTATTAGTTCCAAATAAGGAAAGGAGGTAGATATCCCCATCCGTTTTTAGCAGGTTTAGTAATATGGACTGGTTTTCATTTTTAGTTATTAAAATGTTTAATTTTCAGTTCAGTTTAATGATATTCTAATTGTTTTGTTTTAAATTACATTTTAATGTATTTTTGAATTACTGTTCATCATCCAGAGACCTTCAGCTATTGGGTGGTTGTGTACAAGATAATTAGGTAGGTAGCTAGCTGGGTAGATAGAAATCTTGCCTGTAGGTGACTTCTCCATTGCAGACTTGAATGTAAACATAGGCCGTTTCACACATGGGAAAATCCAGTCAACTAAAATTATCTTTATATTTTTATGTAAATATTTTCTAATTAAGGTAAGCATTCTTGGGAGGTTTTTTTTATGAGCATTTTTATCTTAGGAACAAAAATCTTAAAAAATATAAGCGATCTCATTTCCAAAGGTAGTGGACCTGTGTGAGAGTAGAACATTTTTTATTGTGTATGGATTATAGCCAAGATGATAGATATACCTGAAGGCTAACTATATTTCATATGTTAAAAAATAAAATTCTTCAGCTAAGGAAACCAAATGTTGTGTCAATAGAGGTGGCACAATAGAACTCTTTGTGACCTGTATAATTAAATGTTTTTGCACTGCGGGCAAGTTCTTAGCAAAAAAAAAAAAAATCACCTTTATTAATGTGTATAATCCACACATTTGCCCTGAGGAGAGGCAAGGAACTGTAATGGGCACTGAAGCTCCTGGCTTGTTCAGCAATCCCTCTGGCTTTGCAGATTTCAGCAGAAAAAAACTCTCAAAGAGATCTTTGCAATCTCATGGCAAGTCTGGCTTAATTTTTTTTCTTTTAAATGGAAATTGAAATTCTCAGGAAACTGAATTATGCAGTACCATGGAATTGCAGAACACCCACGAGCCTGAAAAGTACAATCTAATGAAGAGATTGTTAGTATTTTAACAGAATACCCCCATCCATGGAAGTGAAAACCACTGTTGCCATTTTTTTCTCAGCCTTAATAGATACCAATTACTGTAAAATATACAAAAAGGAGCTCTTCAATGCCTCATAATTATTTTTCTTTTTAAGTTTTTTTCTGCCTTCCTCCTCTGTATTTGTATTTTAGATAACTGCCAATACTTTAATACTTCAAATTGCTTAGAGAATAAAATCTCATGTCTCCACATTCCAAGATCCACGGGGATAAAATACCTCTCTGAAAGATTAAGATTCCAAGCAGCAAGTTACTCAAATCCTCATTTGAACTTTGAGTAGTGAAACAAACCCAGGAACTTAAGGAGAACAAATGCATTAATTTAGCTTTGGGATTTAAATGCAACTATGTAGTCCAAAAGTGCCAGTTCAGTATGTTCTGTTGGTTGAGAAATGTAAATAATATTGGCCCCATTGAGCAAAATAGAAAGCTGGAGTTAATGGTTAGGACGTATTCATTTCATAGGTACAGAATTGTAGTTTGTAATCAAAGGGGGTAGGAGTCATCCTGAAATAACACCATCATGCTTGAATATGGCCCCTTCTCATCCTGTTTGTTCATTCATTTGTGGCTAGTTGTTCATCCAATAAATTACAGGGTGAATATGAACTTACAGGGTATGCAGTGGTTCCACTAATTTGTACGTGCAATTTATTTCAGAGACTTTATAAAAAGTGCCTGGGCTGATATTGAACGGTTCAAAGAGCAAAAGAACCATGATTTGAAAGAGGCCCTGATCAGTTATGCCGTGATGCAGATCAGTATGTGTAAAAAGGTAAGTGTATTGGATGATCTGGAATGTACAAATTACAAGTGCTTCAATCTTTAGAAGGGATACTTCTCCAAGCATTTCTCAAAGGGCTATTACCATTCCTATATGTGAAGATAAGGAACATTCTGTTCATGTTTAAACTTAAAGAGTACATTATGTGCGTCCACTGAATTTGCACTCCATCATGAGAAGTAAAATTCTCAGTGATAAAAATAGAAATAAAGGCATGGGTATTTTCAGACTTGAAATACAGGTGAACTTTAAATACAGCAATTCTTCCTTTCTGTTTCTTGTTAATGAAGGGAATTCAAGTTTGGACAAATGCAAAAGAATGTTTCAGCAAGATGTGATGGATGGAACTTGGTTCTTCTTGAAAAAAGCTGGACAGCAGAAGCACAAATGCATGAATATGGATACTAAGATGCTACATTATTAAATTGTGGAATTGGTGTAGTTGTAAAAGTAGGCACAAAGAATTGGTCTCTGTTCCTTGATGGCCACCTTGTGGCTTGTTTTGCATGCTGTAGCAAATTGAACATTGTAGTTCTCTCTGGAAGTAAGGCTATATATAAGGAGAATCCAAGTTGGCTCCAGTGATGGCATAAACTAAAATGTTCATCATATTAGGCTCTTGAACCACCAATCTTTGCACTATCTAAATCATTTCTTGGTGCCCTTCTGTTTCACATTTGTAATGCTATAAGATATAATAATGGGGATTTTTTGTTTTGTTTTCTATATGTAGTGGCACAAAATTGTGTTTTCTAAGTATCCATAATTATCACATACATTGTTTGTCACTGGTGAGAAGATGTTTTTCCAAAAATTCGCTTTCTTTTTGTAACAAATTTTTGAATGTTTAGTATGTTATTCAACTGGGATGTTCTGTACAGTACAGCATTATGTTTCTGAACTAGAAATTTAAAACTGAAAGGATTCCACAATAAAATGTTTCTACTCGTCAGAAGATAACTGCATAATTAGCAAGCAGATAATACAATTACTGTTCCTGACCTCAGTAAAAATGCATAACACAAACTTTAAATTTAATTGGCACTATCCATAAGTATTTGGTTCTGCATTATCAATTCATTTTAAGATGGTTATACCAAGCATAATGATGTTCCCCCTTTGAATACTAACAGTGGTAGCTTCCTGAAAAACTTCATTAATCTGAGGTTGTTTTGCTTTGCACATATTAATCCAAATGTGAATTGTATATACATGTCTCTGCATTCATTCATAAACACTACTTTTTAAGGATTCTTTTTCAAGGAAAATACATAGGATAGGTTGTTTCTCCCCAGGTAAAGTATGTGTAAAAGCAAGATAGCCCTTGCTAGCTCTGATTATAGCTGGAACCAGCATCTTGTATTTTAGGAAAGATCCAAGACTCATTGGCCTCTTTTCTAGTGGTATTTAACATGTCACTCAAGTTAATGCAGACCCAAGCCATATGTAAGTCTAGGAAGCCTTCCTTGATATTAATAGTGCTTATTTGTGAAGCACATATTTAATTATTGCAAATAACAACACTGTATAAGTTTACGCATACCAGAAACAAATTCTTAATCTTTCTATTTCCCCAAATCAGATCTTTTTGCTTGCTGCAATTATAAAGCCAGGTATGCAAAGCAAAACATTTTCAGCTCTAAACAGATGTAATTTTTTTTTTTAAGATTAATGAATAGTTTGTTTCAAGAGAAACATCTAGCCCACTTAGGATAGATATATCTATGCTTGATCATTCCACTTCAGAGAACAGTACAAACTGGGTCCTAAAACTGAAGAATAAAAACTTGTACATTCCAAAAATAATAAGCAGCTACAGTTAGATTTTTATAGTATACTTCCTAGAGTTAGTTGTGCCTTAATTAATACCAGTGGGCACTTGGAGTCAATATTTTCCATGCACTTGATCTTCCTAGTGCCTTCTCCCACTCCCCTTCTTTCATAAGCTGTATAATATATTAGTATTCCTTTTTTCTTGCTAACTATCTCAAATCTGAAAAGGATCAAAAGGTTCTTGTAAGCTTTGTGCCAAATATGTGAAATAAAACTACAGTTTATTATTTTTGCTTTTCACAGTTATTTTGGATTGCCTTATGAATTGATTGTATTGTGTATTGAACTTTATTGTTACTTTTAAAAATACATTTTCAGAGAATTTGGGCTTCATACACTGCTTGCATTTGTGATATGCAAATATCTGTACTTAACAAAAACCAAAATTTGATTTAGGTTGAACTTTTCATGATATCATTTTTTTTACTCAGAGTAAATTAGTACTTCATTTGATTTTAACAAAGAGTTTTAGGAGGATCCTAGCAAAGAAGGATAGCGCCAATTTCTGCAAACAATTAGATGTAGCCAAGGGTTAAAGAGTGGTAAAATTCAATTTACCAAAGCACTCCAGGAAATTATCAAAGTAAACACTTGCTTTGTACCTTGTTCATGAGATCTTTTCCCTCTGAAAAGAGAACGTGTATCCTGTTAAAAGTCATAAAATAACTGCTGCTTTTAACCAGATACACTTGAAATGTTGGGCATAGCAAACTTTCTGAACTGCCTTGCTAAACAATTTTTAACTACTTCCGGAATTTGTCTTCTTTTGGTTTCTTTCAGTTCGGTGAAGTTTGAATATGCTGGTTGAAGCAAATGGGCTTCCCAAATGTCTCAGAACAAGCATAATCCCATATAGGTTCCTTAGATGAGACTGCAATGCTGTGAAACTATTGTGTGGTTGAAATACTAGCCACCTGGGCCCTGCATGGGATCTTCTATTTCTGTCCACTATGTTTGTGCAATTATATGGATAGAAATATCTTCCTGCTTCATCCCCTAAATACTGATAGTAGTTGATAGAATGCCTCTTACACTTGCCATTTTTGATAAATTTTGTCCACACTGAGCTCAGTTTATGAGGATTTATCCACAGTGCTGTGTTTCAAAAAGGCAAGCTGTTTGTTTAGCACAAATTGTTTTCTTGAAGTATCTAGAGATACTTTTGGACATCCAGATGTTTAAGTATTAATAGTGGAACATTTGTAAGACAAATAGAGTGTTTGCCTGTTTCAGCCTTTGGCAAGGGAACCCCATATGCACAGAGTTCTGCAATTAAAATTTAGAGGCATAGATTTTTTTGAGGGGGGAAATGTATGTGTAGATGCTCAGGTTTGTAGCTAGTGATCTCCATCAGTTTCACAAATCACTTGCAGAACATTTCCCTTTACCCTGCAGTCTCTCACTCTAGCTCCACTTTCTGAAGTAGCTGGAGACTCATGGAAGTGTTTAAAATGTGGAAGGCACTTAGATCTGTTAATTCAGTGCTTGGAATCCATGGGATTACATCGCTAAGAGTATCTTGTCACCATTTCCCTTTTGTACACCTCCTCTTTTTCCCTTTACCAGTGTTTTTCAAGTTGACACATAAGCAGCTGTACACAAATGAGCCTATACCCAGTCTCGCTTTGTCAATTTCCATCTATACCATTGACTGTACCTTGCTGCCTTTGACAGTCTTTAAATTTTAAGACTTAAACAGGCAAGAATGCATATATTTATGATAGCCATGACTGCACATTTCTGCACCTCTGAGAGTCTGACAAAGCCAAAACATTTATTTTAATTATGAAAATGTTCACATTTCTGGAGCTTAAAAATTAAAATTAAGCTGGCAAGCCAATGATTGTCTATCCATAGTGCCACTTGGACAGTGCAAGGGCTGTCACCACCAGTAGCTTAGTCAAATTCTCAAAGACCGCAGCAAAGGGTGGGTGTTGTCTTGCTAGCTGGGCCTGCAGCCTGTGATGGAATCAACCTCCCCCCTTTGGAGAACATGCCAAACCCTCATGGCTTGAACACCCCATAGAACAAGGCATGAGATGTCAAGGTGGCTTACGTCCAAACCCAAACTGCTTTTGGCAATGACAACTACCATGGCTAATTACCCTTAATTAGATGCTATGATGTGCAAACCCAGTCTGTGTATAAATGTCAGTGTGCTCTTTCCGTTTTATGTATCCCTCAGATATTAAGTAGTTCATATATACCATATCAACATAGTAATTTACTAATTCAAGTGTTGAAATAGCCTGGTTTTGATATCTCCCTACCCAATTTAAATCTGCTCATAAATGTAATTCTTCAGACCTGCTTTATAGTCACAAAGATATGCATTCATACCTCTGTTTTCTTAAGTACAGCTATGTGTACACCAGTTGAAAATTTTGAAACATTTAGAGCTCATTTGCTGAAAAAGGGCAGCAACTTTGATTAACCAAACAGTTGCATACCCCTGTCATCTGAGGTATAGACAAGGTTTTTTCTGCTTATGATATAGTTTGAAAAGGTTCTTAATGCTGTTTAGTTGCATTATTCATTTATTTACTAAATGAACTTGTCGAGTGCAAATATGTATGAAGCAAAGCTTGCTGGTAGCATCATTTGATTTATAAATATTTCACTTACTGGTTTGGGTTTATAAAATACTGTGTGTGGTCCAACGTGAATGCATACTTCTAATGCTACTAATATTAGCTTTGCAAGAATTAATTGATTAGGTAAAAAACATTTGATACATATTGCCCCCTAGTGTCTTAAGTATTTCAGGATGAAATAAAAAAATATATTTCATTCAGTATATTTACATTCTGCTTTTCAGAGAGAGACCTTCACAAAATGGCTGAAGGAACATAGGGATTGCGCCTATAAATATGCAAAATATGTATAATTTAGACAATTACCACCCCACACATTCAAAGCCATTGAGTGGCAGAGAACTCACATGATGTTCTCTGACTAAACATCAGCCATGGTGAAGACAGAATACTAATACCACTTTTGACACAGAGGTCATGCCCAACTGGTATACTCCAGTTATTTTGGAACATAGTGCCTATCATCCAGGACCACTGACCATACCAGCTAGGATGGAGTGGCATAGTTTTGGGAAAGGTTGCACTACAGTGATAAAGGCAGTTTCTGTCCCAGAAGCTGGCCAGAATCATCTGTAAGAAATAGGTACAGCATAATTCCCTTCAAATATTCCCCAGTGTGAAGAGCGGGTGGTGAAGCCATTGTAAATTCACCACCTTTTAAGTCAATGCCAAGACTGCCTGAAGCAACTTACTGTTATTTCACAATTACTGTTTTTCTTTCTCTAGTTTCTCTATACATGCAGGTTCCCTCTTGCAGCAGCTAAGTGGTTTGTTGAGTAGTTGGGATCTATTTTATTTGGACTCTGGAGCTACAACTATTATTAAATGCCATTGTTCTCAAAGAACAAAAATCTTTTACATGTCCGCTGTGTGAGCAGGTGGGTTGGAGGAAGAATTAAGGCTCGAAGCTTCACAGCCATGATAAATTTCTCCACACGCCCAGCAAAATACAAGACTTGGCATTGCTCAGAGTGTCCCCTGACCTGCTTTTCGGCAAAACATGTTGGGAAGTTCAGAGACATTTCAAAAGCAATTACGAAAAAGCATAGACTTTACTTTCCAAAGAATAATGGTACAGAATCTCACTGGCTTTGTTCAAACATTTGGGCATGCTTAATACGGCTCTCTGGCATGCAGCCTCAGTGTATGTTAAACATGATTATTTTTAATAGTGTGTTATCCATACTTGAGTGGGAGATTATCAGGATCCTCATGTAAGTCATTCTGAGCTTTCCATGGAAGAAAATATAATGACTCAAGGGTGATAAAGAAGCCACATGCAAGTACATATATTTGCTAGAACTGCTGTCTTTGAGAACTGCTGTTTATTTCATTTATTGTATGTCTATGCCACCCAACAGCAAGGGATCTCTGATTGGCTTGCAAAGATTAAAGCCTTAAGTTTTCTGTAAGGAACAGTATTTATCTGAGGTAGAAATTGTATATGTTCACATGTTTTGTTTTGGATCAATGGTTGGTATGTGGAGAGTTAATTGAAAAGAGGGAAAACCAAATTTTACTTTGGTTAGAGCAAGAGAAATTAGATAAAGCTGAAAGCTATGCTAGCAGTCCACCAGCTCAGAAATGACCATTTTAAAGCTCATGGTTATTTTGGAGGTGACTATGTTATGTATGTCTTTAAGATCCTTGTCTTTTTTCCCTCTGCTCTGTGGAATCAAAATGGGGGCAAATGAAATTTGTTAACTTGTAGACTTTCTTTCCAAATCTTTTGATCCATTTTTCAAATCCAGTGGTGCTGGAATACTACCTGATTGGCAGGAGTGTTTATTATGAGGTATCCAGCGGTCAGCTGAGAGAAAGAAGACAAGAATCAGTGAGCAGTCTGAGTCTGAAATCAGTGAGCAGCAGTACCAGAAGCTGAAAGAAGAGCTAAAGAAACCCTGCGGCTAAAATCACTTGAAGCAAGAGCTGGAGAAGGTCTGTAAGGAAGGACTGGGAAACTCCTGGAGCAACCTTCACGAAGAAGCTAAAGGACAAATGACAAGAAGATGGACTTGAGGTAATGGCATTACTAGAACAAAAATAAATAGAGCACTGCAGAAGAGGTCCTGAGAACTCTGCAACAGAGAAGCCTTACCAGAAGAAAGATGGCGATTTAAGCCCCCACTGCAGCCTGTGAACTGGAGTTCAGTAGGGAAATTGGCTTAAGTTTGGGTTGGGTGGGTAACTAGAGCAAATACATAACCAGCTTAAGGCAACACAGTTAACACTTTTGTTTATGCATGATCCATTAACAGAGCAATAGGTTCTGCTTTACTATGTTCTGCTTTTATCTTGTCTAATAAATTCACTGTATTTTTGTTTTACTTGTGAACATGAGGTCTGCTTTCTCCTACATCTGCCTCCAGCTACTGTAAGGAAAAAGGGTAGTAGCTAAATAAGACATCAACTTCAGAGAAACTGGATAAGGGATAACTAACAAATGGACTAGTAACTATAATAATAGTTACTAGTCCTCATTAAGGTAGCATTCTTGAAATATGATAGTGTGAAGGTTCACATATACACATTTGGTGATACAAGTGATTTATACTTAGAAAGGGGGTGCAGGGTGGGAGTTCTCCGCAGGTTTCCTTAAGAGTTTCTAGATCTATCATTGTCACTTGAGCCCAAGGGGCCTTGGTGGCTCAG